CCAGTCCTTTGTCCCAGTCATAAGAACAGTTATGACAGGACATCCTGAACGTTATTTTCAGGGTTTAACGCTCTCTTTCTCACACTTCTTGTTTCTGTGTGTGACGTGTTGAAGACTTCAACTTGTGGTATACCCAAATGAGTCATAATTTGCTGAGAAAGTTTGGATGTAAAATGGGAACATTGATGTGACTGGATCTCCACTGGTAATCTCTATCAAGTGAAGAACTGTGTTAACTCTTCTACCCCTACCTTAGCAGGGATTGTTTTTAAAAAAAATGGCCTCTGGGAATGGTCCAGCCATGTCCATAATAGCTAGAAATTAAAACTGAAAGTGATAGAGAAACTCAGCATCTGCAGAGAGAGAAACAGAGTTAATTGATATTAAGGATGTACTAGTGTCAAGTTTTTGTTTTCAGTAAACATCCCATGCCTCTTACTAATACCCAGTTAATTGGTTCACCAAAAATGGGTATGGGAATTAAAGGTGCCATTCTTATTGCATATTCCAGGTTTCCTACAAACCGGTACAGATGGCATGTATTACAAGCCTGTGTACCATGTCCTTGTGAAGACCTGACCAGTAAAAATGTTGACTCACACACATTTGGGTCTTTGGATTCCTGAGCATCTTGCATAGCAGATTCGTGGCCTGTCCTCTCTTGATGATATTTGGGGGGCAGTGCCTGGTGACCAGTGAACCACTGTGTACTCTTCATTCATCGGTCTGTGAGGAAGTCTCCACTTCCTCATCAGATCCCATTTTTCATATCAGAGCATTCCCCACTCCTGAACTCTTTCTGTCTCGGTTTAAGTTCGAGTTCATTGTGCTACTTAATGCTGAATTGGTTTGATGAGCCTCAATCAGCGAAGACTCAATGATCATTTCCTTTAGATTACCCAAATCCTTAAAGAAAACTTCAAATATCTGCTCCTGGTACTAATTTTACCTCCACCAACATGACTTGTTATTGTCCAGGTCAGTACACAAAAGGGGAAGATTCCTGGAATCTTTTCCTGTAACTGCTCCACCTCCTTGATCCCACTCAGCCTTTCTGTGACTACTAGAGAAGCTGTTAGCTTCATTCCTATGAAATCATTTCAAAGGAATGGGTCAACTCCCTCTACAGGTTAACTATGGACAAGTCCTATAGGTACCATTTGGGGCATGAGGATTCATTCTAGCTGCAGCTGATACACAGTTATGGGTACATGATCCCCACCAATACTGCTTACTAAAACCTTGACATTCCTGACACTCTCTAGTGGAAAAGTCTTCCCTCCCCCACTAAAAGAATTTGGGTGGCTCTTGTTCCTCCAAGTGTAACTGTAGCTTTACTTGCCTCACCTGAGAAGAAGGTTGTTACTTGTTCTTCTGAAAATTTCTTACAAGTCACATAATTTCTAGGAACGCTCGTTTCTAAAGAAAAAAGTTCCAATGTCCATAATGACCTTTTTGATAACATCTTTTCAAGAAATCAATCCAGGTATCTCCACAAAAGGTTGAAATAAATTCATTTTTTTGTCATCCTTCAAAACGTACGTCCTCAAAAAATATTAGATAAGGAGCGTCTCCATTACAGTCTACAGAGAATGCTGGAGAAACTCAGCAGGTCTGGCAAATCTGTGGCAAGAGAAACAGAGTTAATGTTTTGAGTCTAAAAATGACTCTTCCTTTTGATCCTGGAGAAAAGTCATACCCAAAGTGAAACACTAACTCTGTGTCTTTCTCTCTCTCCACAGATGCAGCCAGACCTGCTGAGCTTCTCCAGCAATTTCTGTTTTTATTTCAGATCTCCAGCATCCGCAGTATTTTGCTTTTGTGTCGGCCAGGTGGGAGGTGCTGGCTCAGGTATCAGCAGTGGCCAGGACATCAGGGGAATTTGCCTTTTTAGGAAAGTGGAAAAAGCCAAGGGATTCCTCATGCCCATTTAAATAGGGAGTCAAGTAATTTGGTTTAACATCCCACCTGAGAGTGAGCACTTCAAACAGGGCTGCAACCCACTGCATACCCCCATGTCCTGTTCTGGGGCTCAAACTCTTGTCTTTTTGACTGAGAAGCAAGAAAGCAAAGGTGTCTTCTCCCATTCCACCACAATCATGCAATATTCCAATTTTAATCACTCCTTCACACTCTCACACAATGAAATCATTCAGCCAATCCGATCTTCCTCTCTACATAACCCACACGGTCCAATTCAACATTCCCATTCAGCTCCTCACACCCGCTAATGTTCCTCACTTCCAGCAATGCTGTTAAATTCATTATTCTGCTTTGACAGTTTCTGGCAGAGATCCTAACTGACATGAGCTTGGCAAGAATGTTTCGCTTACCACTTATTCAGTGCGATCTACCAGTTTGCCCACTCCGCTGGTCACTGTTCTCACATCAGCCCTCAAGTCCTGATCATTTTTGTGCACCTTTTAATTAATGAGTAACCCCTTTTAATGAATCCAACTCCTTTTCACTTGGACTTTCGGCCATCTCTATCCACATGGTAAGCAGTCGGGGAGAAACACTATTCCCCTCTGAGAATTAATTCCAGGCTGCACTGTTTGGAGGCCAACGAGATGCTCCAATAACTAACATCCAACAAAGTTGTATCTGATGAGGCAGGAGCTGGGGAGTTGCTCTCCATTGTCTGGGCTCTGATGATACAGTGTGATCCAATAGGGGGCAGTGTTACTCAATGTAAAGCCAACTCCAGCTGAAGCACTGTTAAGAGCTAAACTGACCGCACACTGTAACAATACTGTACATGTCCTAATCTCACAGATAGTTTCACAGAGGGACAGCACAAAACTTATTTGGACTGTGATGGAGGTGCATTTAGGTTTTAAACCGGTGCCAAGTGATCCAGTTTGAGTTTAGTTACTGGGTATATTGTGTAGTGGAAATCCTGCTTGTACTGGAAGGGTTCAGACTGTGTTTGTAGATCTCGATGTCACTCCCATAGCGGGAAACAATAAAAACGGAAGTGGTGTAAAGTAGGTTGCTGATTCACAATTACCTACTGTACACCACCATAGGTTTGCTCACCATGCTGCCTGATCATAGAGTCAAACAACTTTCACGGATGGAAAGAGGCCCTTCAGCCCATCGTATCTGTGCCAATCACCAAACTCCTATCTAGTCTAATCCCATTTTGCAGCACTTGCAGCCTTGTATACCTTGCTGTTTCAAGTTCTAATCTAAATCGTTCTCAAAGGTTTTGAAGATTCCTGCCTTTCAGGCTGTGTGTTCCAAAAACCCACCACCCTCTGACTGAAAAGATTTTTTTCCTCAGATCCCCTCTAAACCTCCTGCTTCTCACTTTACTTACTTACTAAGGAAGAACAAAAGCCTACTTATCTACCCTATCAATGCTCTCTCATAACTTTGTACACCTCAATCAGGTCTCCCCTCAGCCATCTCTGCTGTAAGGAAAACAAACCCCAGCCCATCTAATCTCCCTTCATAGCTGAATCACTCCAGACCAGGCAACATCCTGGTGAATCTCCTCTAGGAATCTCCCTGCTAGGGAAACTGCATCCTTCCTAAAGTGTGGGGACCAGAACTGCACACAGTTATGCAACTCCAATTACTGATTTACTTCTGCGTGCGTCAGCATCACTGGTTATCATCTGTATTCCATTCACAGTCAGCATTGTTAACAATGCAGATAATCTGTTTCAATGATGTTGATTGAGGGATGGATGTTGGTACTTAGGAGAGCTCCCCTACTTCTCTATGAAATGGTGCATTGGGATCCTTTCCAGCTGGCTGAAGTTTAACATGTGATCGGATCTGAAAGACAGTGCAGCGCGCTCTGGATTGTCAGCTGTAGCTATTAAATGCTCAAGCCAGGCGGTGGGACTTGGTCGTGGGACCCTGCAGTTCAGATGTGACAGTACTACTCACTGCACCACGCCTGATACAAACTATGGGGTCTCTATTCATACTGACCTCACTGACTGTAGTGGCGTGAAAAGGTAATGAAACACAGACAAAGTATTGAGCCCTGACAACTAGTCAGGCCACAGCTAGAATATGATCATAGAATCCCTACAGTGTGGAAGCAGGCCATTCAGCCCATTGAATCCACACCGACCCTCCGAAAAGCATCCCACTCAGACCCACGCCCTCTACCCTATCCCTGTAACCCTGCATTCCCCATGGTTGACCCACCTAGCCTGCGTGTCCCTGGCCACTACCAGGCAATTTAGCACAACCAATCTATCTAACCTTGGAGCTTGGAGGAAACCCACACAGACACGGGGAAAACGTGCAAACTCCACACACAGTCACCCAAGGCTGGAATTGAACCCGGGTCCCTGGTGCTATGAGGCACCGTGCCATCCTGGTCACCTCGCTTCAGGAAGGATGTATATGAGGGTCCTTGGGAGAATGCAGAGGAGATTAACCAGAGTTGGTGCATGAGGAGGGCTTTAGTTAAATAGCAAGGTCACAGACGCTGGGCTTACTCTCCTGGGAGCAAGGAGATGCATTAGGGATCTTATCAAAATGTTAAGACAAATTTGGATAAGGTCAACAAAGAAAAACAACTCCCATTGGCTGATTGGGACACAGATTCTTAAAGTTTTGGGTCAGAGATGGGGGTGAAATGTGAGGAACGTGGAGACAGGGGCAAAGAATCATCTTAAAAGGAAGTTGGATGGAAATCTGAGGGAAATAAACTTGCAGGGCCATGGGGAGCGAGCGGGGGAATGAGACTGGAATGTTCTGCAGAGTCAACATAGAGTTAATGGGCTAAATGTCCTCATTCTGTACCGTTATGGCTCTTTGAATTTAAATACCATTTCTCTCCCATCCCCTTTTGTGGATGAGATTAAATCTTCAAAAGTAAAATTAAGATTCTGAGCTGTCTGAAACATTTAGATGGTCAATTCTTAAATGTACATCTTCAAAGCGCTCCTTCACGTAAGGATGATATCACAGAGCAATGGCCTTGTTCAAAACATCGATTACATTCCCCATGTGACTCAATCAAACCAACTCACCTCAAACATAAAGACAAATGCCAGACGAATTGCCAACAGTTTCCAGTATGTCAGACTAAAATCACCACTGGGATCCCTGAAATCCCTGTACCTGTAAATTAGCAAGCACATACACATTATGGGTTGGCAACTACTTTAGGCAAACTGTCAACTGCATTATTCCTGTGTTCCACTTGTGCCAGGAGCCCACCATCTACAAGGCACCAATCAGGAGTGTGTTGGAATATGCCCCACTCGCCTGGATAAGGGCAATTCCAACAAGACTCACAAAGCTCAACACTGTCCAGGACAAAGCAGCCCTCAGTTGACTGGCAACACATCCACCACCTTGAACATTCATTTCCTACCCCATCGATACAGATGTGTGGACCATCTACAAGATGCACAGCATCAACTCACCAAGGCTCCTTTGACAGCACCACCCAAATCCTACAATTGCTACCATCTGGAAGGATAAGAGCAGCAGATGTAAGGGAACACCACCCCTGTAAGTTCCCCTCTAAGTCACACATAACCCTGAGAGTCTAGGGGTTGGGGGCCGGGGGGTGAGTACGAGTGCCTTTCTGGATCCAGGACCTTGTATGAAGAACCTCTGCAATTGGGCACATCTCCACGAATTCTGCAGCTCCCCTCTCCCACCATTCCCACCGCTGGTCCCGATACCTCTGATAGCCCAGCCCTCCTGTGCAGCAGGTTCATGATTGCTAAGAGGATCAAAGGTCATGGGGAGAAGGCGGGAGAATGGGGTTGAGAAACCTATCAGCCATGATCAAATGGCGGAGCAGATGGGCCGAACAGTCTAATTCTGCTCCTCCGTCTTGTAGTGTTAACAGGAGCTGCACTATGACTGTTACCTGAAGTAGGTAGACCCACTAAAAGATACGGCGCTCATATTGGAAGTGGTAGAAGTTGCCATGCAAGGTGGAAATGGTGACCCAATGGCTTTAGCTGCTCATTTGGAGAGTTCTAGCCTTTCTGCTGTGTCTGAGGCTGGAGAGCTGGGGTCCACCAAACAGAGCTGAGAAACCAGGTTTAGGTCGGGAAACAGACGTTAGACCCTCCCACACAACTTCCTTTGGGTCAAAATTCAGTTTCTGGAGCCAACACCAACCAGCATTTAATCTCCTCTCACAGCTCATACACTGTATCCCTATAATGGAGCCATTCGATCTACTAAATGCAGTCCTAATTATTAAGACCATAAGATTTAGGAACAGATGTAGGCCATTCAGCCCATCAAGTCTTCTCCGCCATTCAACGGCCAATCTGAAATCCTCAACCCACTTTCCTCTTGCTGGTCCCCTTACTGCTTAAATATCTGTCTCAGCCTTGAATAGTCTCCAAGGATTAAGCAAAGCCCCATCTGGCTTGTTGTATACTTGCCTTTGAGATAACACCCAGCTCCATTCTCTACCCCAGCTGCACAGCAATTACTTATTCCAGCAGAGTATTTGGAACAGCTCAGAGCCAGTTTTGTGTTTGAGGCGCCCATGTTGTGATCTCTCTTTAGGTTCCTCACTCTTTCTGTGTCCTACCTGCACATGGTCTTGTTCTGCTGGTTGAATCTGGTGGGTGAATGGGCCAAGCTGAAGTTGATGTAGCCAGTCAGATTACTCTGGTGTACATACTGGTAGTATTGACGAGGCAGAAAGTCTGAGGTGAACGCGATCAGGAATGCCTGTGGGAGGGGAGTAAGTTGTATGTGACTGTGGCACTCACCACAAGGTCAGTTTATCGAGCAGCTGGTAACACATATTAGGCTCCATTATCCCAATGAGATGCCCCAAGGAGCTGCAGTTGGGCTGATTACCCAATAAAAATCGGCACATAGCAAAATATTGGGTTGGGTCAACAGAAGCTTGTCAAAGAGACAGGATTTAAGGAGAGTCCTGAGGGACAGTTTTGGCGAAGAGGATGGGATTTAGGGAGAGAATTTGGGAGCTGATGGCTTAGCTGTCAATGGTGCTCTAATGACAGCCAGAGACACGTGATCCAGGGGCATGCGATCCAGGGACACGCGATCCAGGGACACCCGATCCAGGGGCATGCGATCCAGGGACACCCGATCCAGGGACACGCGATCCAGGGACACACAATCCAGGGGCACGCGATCCAGGGACACGCGATCCAGGGACACGCGATCCAGGGACACGCGATCCGGGGACACGTGATCCGGGGACACGCGATCCGGGGACACGTGGCCTAGGGACACATGATCCAGAGACATGTGATTTGGGGACATGCGACCCAGGGACACATGATCCAGTGATATGCGATCTAGGGCACACATGATCTAGTGATACAATCCAGAGACACGAGATCCAGGGACACACAATCAGGGGACACACAACCTGGGGACACACGATCCAGAGACAAATGATCCAGGAAATGTGATCCAGAGACATGTGAACTGGGATATGTGATCCAGATACACATGATCCAGGGACACTTGACCCAGGGACACATAAAATACAGATTTGGAGGAACGCTGAGATCCCGAGGGAAGGATTACGTGGCAGTTGACGTTTCTTTTAGGCTGGTGGGCATGCAACAATTAAAAATCTCCTGTGAACTGATTGCCCCTTTAAGCCCTTGCACATGTGAGTGAAAAGTGGTCAAAGACATTGGCTTCAATCTTCCCAACATTAAACTGAAGGAAATTTTGATTTAGCCAGAACTGAAAGTTGGAGAAACAGAAGAGGTGGGAGCATTGGGACAGGTGGTGATGTAATAGAGTCGACTGTTGACTGTGTACATGTGGAATGCAATGCCGAATTGTTGCTGGGGTCAGGGGTGGGTGGCAGCAGGTAGAAGAGAAACAGCCAGGGACCAAGCACTGAGGGTGCAGGAGTGGGTGACAGATGTCATTGCATTTAACTCTCTGGCTGGAGGATGAGACTGGAACTTGGCAAGGCAGGGGTGGCGATGGCCTAGTTTGATTAACAACACTGGATTGTTAATCCAGAGACCAAGGTAACATTCTGGGGACCCAGGTTCAAATCCCGCTAGGGTGGAATTTGAATTCAATAAAATATCTGGAATTAAAAATCTAACAATGGCCATGAATCCATTATCGATTGTTGGAAAAACCCATCTGGTTCACTAATGTCCTTATGGAAGGAAACTGCCATCCTTACCTGGTCTGGCCTACATGTGACTCCAGACCCACAGCAATGTGGTTGACTCTTAACAATTAGGGAAGGGCAATAAATGCTGCCTAGCCAGTGATGCCCTCATCCTGTGAATGATTAAAGGAGGGAAAAAAAGACTCACCAGCTGGATAATGGAGGAGGGAAATCAGAGGCAGATGGTGATCAAAGGTGTCAAAGGCTGAAAACAGATCAATAAAGAGGGATAGTTGGTAAGAGTCACACTCTACGAGGATGTTCCTGGAATTTGATTTGAAGTTAGATCCTATTAATGCTGGTTAGAGAGGAGGAATTCTGGAATTGTGGGAAAGCTGGGTGTGGATTTGGGAGGTCCTGACTTGCTCGAGCAGGGGAGAGGCAAGTTGGAGAAGACAGACGGTTGCAAATGTAGATGCTAAAGGTGTTTTATATTAGGTAGAGAGTTGGCTGTGATAAATTTAAAAGGGAGTATCTGAGGAGAGTGAAGGGAGACATTCACTTTTTGGAGTCTTAATGGAAACGAAGACATGTCGCTGAGGTTTTTCATCCAAGAAAACCAAATTTCAAACTATCAATTTTCTATTGGAGGGGAAAGGGTGCTGATAATTTAACAAGTTGAATCTTGATTGGCCGAGGTACTGCCAATGGGGTCTCTAAGCCCCTGAGCCCTGATAGAAGGACTGCAATGTCTACCTTTTTAGCCTAATTTCTTATTTTCCTAACTTATACTATGTATATCTGTAATGTAGTGTAACTTTTTTCTTTATTTTCTCTTTCTTTGCACCTAAGATTTGTACCTAGGGATTCTGTACCTAAGATGGTACCATGTGCTGGATACACTGCACACTTTTCATTGTATTTGTGTTCTTTTGTAACTTGAGTAGAGGTGACCATAAACGTAATTCTAATTCTGAGCGATTCAAAAATGTACTTTTTCTTTTTGTGTGCAGAGAATGTGCCCTTACCAATGAAAGTATGCACCTTTGTTTTGAATGAAGTAAAGACATATCTGGACTGTTAGAGCATGTTAGTGATGGCAAATTTCTTTCCTTAAAGGGCATTGGTGAACCTGGTGGACTTTAAGCTTCATTGTCTGTATTACTGAGACTAGTTTTTAATTCTAGATTTATCAATTTAAAAAAAACCCTGCGATTGAAAGCTAGTCTAAGTAAGACCATTGTCAATTGTCGGAGAAAGGTGCCAGGATACTCACATTACTTAATATAGCGAACATGGTGATGGTTTCCAGAATGTTGAACCAGATCCCGATCTCCTGAGCTCTCTCCACGACTGGCCGCCTGTACTCAGACACAAACTTGTTGGCATCCAGGCGAATTTCTACCCAGTTATTGAGCAGGGCGAATAAAGGAGCCAATGGGCAGGCAGCAACAAAGATGGTGATGAATCCGAACTGCAGGACTGAACGTTGAGAGACGGTGACCATAATCGTTAGAATGTGCCTTGGAAATTAAGGAACCAAGTTGCATTTGCAAAGCACCTTTCACCTCCTCTGGATCCCCTAAATTGCCTCACAAGTTGTCCGCCATGTTTGCCTACAGGACAATAGTAATGGAGGCAAAGGCAACACCCATTTCATTGCAAATAAAGTAAATGCCCAGTTAATCTCTTTTCATTAGTGTTGCTTTAGGGATAATTGTTGGTCAGGACCGTGAGAGACTTAGTCAACTGGATACTCATACAATCTCAAATGGACCAACTATTGGGAATGAAGGGGTTTCTTTTCTGGTGCATTAATCAGTAATGGTGCTGTCAATGCAATTGGATCAAATTGGTGTACTACCTCCTCAGGGTAGTTAAGGATGGAGTAATCTTCAGGGAATATCAAAGCACACGCTTGAATCAGAACTGAACTAGAACTGAACCCATTATTAGAAATGGTCACTTCATTGAGAAAGAGCTGGCATTGACACAATGACACTCAGGTTCCAAAGTGCTTCACAATCAACAAATAATTGTACCTACTGTCATTGTCTTTTTCTTTGGTCAAATAATGCAGCCAACTGGTACATAGCAAGCTCTTATAAATAGCCAGAAAGATCAGTGAACCTTGTTGTCAGGATTTGCTACCCTGTTTCTATGTCAACAGTGGAATGTGGCATGCCAGGCAAGTCCCAAGCTCCCAATCAATGCTTCCTGATCCTGACATGGCAGGTTAGTGGAGAATGGAAAGAGAAGGAATCCACTTGCCTGTTTTCCCACAAACCGTTATGTTAAAAATGATTAGTTTTACGTTCTTGTCAGTGAATATTCAGAAGTTTTATTAAACATAATTATATCCAGATGATGGGAAGAGAAGGCATCTTCTAGAACCTTCATTTCCCACTTCCATGTGGTCAGACATACTTCCTTGTGTACATATTCATTTTTTTAATAAAGGTATAACTGAGAAGAACAGTTCTAAAGAAGTGAACCTGGAATTGAAACACTAACTCTGTTTCTCTCTCCGCAGACTTGTTGAGTTTCTCCAGCAATTTCTGTTTTTATTATGAAGTCATAGAGTCGTGCAGCATGGAAGCAGACCCTTCAGTCCAACCAGTCCATGCTGAACATAATCCCAAACTAAACTGGTCCCACCTGCCTGCTCCTGTCTGATATCCTTCCAAACCTTTCCTATTCATGTACTTATCTAAGCTTCTTTCAAATGTTGTAGTTGTACCCACATCCACCACTTCCTCAGGAAGTTCATTCACATGAGAACCATCCTCTGTGTAAAAAAAAAAATTGCCCCTCATGTCGTTTTTAAACCTCTCTCCTCTCACATTAAAAATGTGCCCCCTGGTCTTGAAATCCCCCATGTTAGGGAAAAGACACTTAGCATTAACTCTATCTATACCCCTCATGATTTTATAAACTTCGATATGCTCCTGTGAAAAAAGTTAAAAAAGGTTATCACTTAACTCGCCTTCTCTCGCCAAGTTCTTTTACAGCACCCCTTTCAACTATTTACATTTTATCATGAGCTTTTTACTGTTTATTCCCAGTTCATCTTCCCTCTTGCAAGTATCTTTCAGGCAAGGCATTAATTTCCACAAGTGTTCTTTGCTGTCTTGGAGGACCTGTACTATATATGTGCTCCCTGATTGCTATCCAGGAAGGTGAACACAGGAGTGGAATGGGATGGCAGGGTTGTCTGCAAACAGGAACATTTCTGGAACTCCATACAGAAAGTAAAAGTGTGATTAAGCTTTGGTCTTCTGACCCAAGATCTCTCAAGAAGTTGCTGTTTCGCACAGTGGTCTGTAACCTGGAGGGCAAATTGATTTTCTCCCCCTGTATTTCTGAGGCTTTTTTTTTCAGAGGTTGACTCTCCGTCACCAACAACAGCTTGTTTCTCCACGGTAGTCTTCTAACTTCGATAAAGAGATTTGCTTTGTCTCCCTCTTCTGATTTTCTTCTTGAAACGAATGATCAGCATGTACGAACTATTGCAGAATGGTTTCCTCAGCTAATAGTTCACAGTGATTTTGCAGCTCCTCCATCAACGTATCTCTTCGTTGTGTCAATTGCATGAGAATATTGGTTGTCTTTGCAGAGGACTTTTAGAAATCTTCTACAATCTGTCCTTTTCCATTCCCTGGGGTTTGATAGCAATGTGTAATGATAAGTGTTGGGTCAGCATGATCCAATTTGGACCTAAACATATTCTTCTCCCAAGACAGATTTTATTTGCTAAATTTGTTGAACCAAAACTTCTACCAAGGTAAATAGTCCTGTGTAGCATCTACTTCTTGAGAAGTTGCAGACTGCAGTGTCTGTTTTAAAATTTCCTTGCTGTAGATTGAAAACTGCTGTTGCACACATGGCATTCAGCGTTGCCTGCTGGGAAGGGTTGATGTTGATATGGAGGACCCCTGGCACAACCTGGACAAGAAACAATGGCGGAGGCAGTGCCCTCTTCCCCTTGTGGCTGCTGCCTTCCTGATGCACACAAATCCCTTGGCAGAATTTGAATTCAATAAATATCCGGAAATAAGAATCTAATGTTTACCATGAATCCATTGTCGATTGTCAGAAATGTTCACTAATGTCCTTTAGGGAAGGAAACTGTCATCCTAACCTGGTCTGGCCTACATGTGACTCCAGACACACAGAAATGTGGTTGATTCTGAAATGCCCTCTGGGCAATTAGGGATGGGGCAATAAATGCTGGTATAGCCAGCAATGCCCTCATCCCATGAATGAATAAAGGAATAAGCTGTGGGTTAGTCATGGGAAATGCAGGGTTACAGGGAGAGGGTAACAGGGTACGTCTGAGTGGGATGCTCTTTGGAAGGTTGGTATGGTCTCAATGGGCTGAATGGCCTGCTTCCACACAGTAGGGATTCTATGAACTGGGGCATTTAATGCTGGCCTTGCCAGCAACATCCACATCCAATAGAAGAATTTCAATGACATTCAACTTTGTTCTAATGGTTTCGTTTATTTTATTTTACTTTCATTTCTTTTGCCAATGAACTTCCCTTTAATAGATAAACCAAAATCTGTAGCATTGCGTGAGGCCATTTCATTGCAGCAAAACAAATAAAATTATGATCTATCAAGCCAGGTTCCTCTCTGGGATCTAACTTGTGCCGTAATAATGTCAGCTGGGATCCTAACACTGTGAAAACATTTCTCCTAATGTCTCTTTTGCTGATTACTTTAAATCTGCACTCTCTCGTATTTAATCATGTCGTAAGTGGAAACAGCTTCTCCCTCCCTATTCTGTCCTGAACCTTCCTGATTTTGAATATAACTATTTGCTTCCCTGCCTCCAAAGAAAACAGTCCCAAATTCTCCAAGTGATCCAAGTAACTGAAGCTCCTCAGCTCTGGAACGATTTCTGTGAATTTTCAGTCTCTCTAATGTCTGCACATTCTTCCTAAAGTGTGGTGTCCAGAACCACACACAATACTCTAGTCGATACCTAACCAGTGCTTCATATGACATTTGACATAATCTTTTTGGTTTTGTATTTTATGCCCGTATTAATAAAGCCCAAGATACTCTTATATGTATTTAATGTCGTTCAACCTGTCCCGTCATCCTTTATGATTTATACATATTTACACGTAAGTGCCCCATTCCTGCATTTATTTTAGAGTTGCATCCTTTATTTTATATTGTCTTCCATGTTCTTTCTACCAGAATAAATCATTTCACATTTCCACGAGGTTTCCTTTCTCTTAAAAGATAAACCATGCTCTGTTAGCACCTGTTAGTGTTATAGAGAGCTACGTACCCATCTCAAGATACTCATCAAAGAGTCCCTCATAGACCAATTGTTCATAATCCCTCTCCCAGGGCTTTTGGACTGGAATGGACTTCTCTTTCGCTGCACCCTTCAGTTTCCGCTTCTGCCACCAATATTTCAACTTCCTGTTTAATGAGAAACACAACAGTATCCAAAGTTAAGCATCCAAATGAATGCTACCTCAAAGTCAGACCTGAGGAGGTACTTCTTCTGACTTCGTGAAATGTTTGCTGCTTTTATTTATGGCTTCCGCACATCACAAGTTTCCATCGAGACAACAATGCACCTTGACAAAGATGTATCTAAGATGAATACGCATCAACAATGTAGCTCGGGTGCATGATCAATGGTCATTGATCCATTGAGGGTACATGGTCAAAGCCTACTGCCCATGAACAAGGCACTAAGTTTAGAGGTTAACAGGTTGGCACAATGGAAGGAACAAGGTAAGCTGTTACTAAGGGTATCCTTCATTCTTCAGCTCAAAGCAATGCCTTTGGAATGTGGTAAACCCATGCACAGAATAAATGGGAGTGTTACAATAAACTGTCCTGCAGTCCACCCTTTCTGTTCACTACTTGTTGCATTCAGTTCACAGATAAGAACATTAAAAAATCAGGCCAGGAGTAGGCCATTCAGCTCTTTGAGTCCGATCTGCCATTCCATTAAATCGTAGCTGATTTTCTAGTTCATCATCATTTTCCTGCACTCTTCCTCTATCTTTTAAATCTGAAGCTTTTGGTGGGGGGGGGGGGCGGTGGGTGGTTTCTTGGATTCCTTGTGCCAGGAGGCAGTCACATCTCTTAGGATGGGGTTTGCTGATGTGGTTTGTGGTCAGGGACAGGAGAGCATGCACGAGGCAAGTAAGGGTGGGGGGAACCCACAACCACCACTTCCTCTGAAATTCATGCCACACATAAACCACTCTCTTTGTAGCAAAATTGCCCCTCATGTCTTTTTTAAATCTTTCTCCTCTCACCTTAAAAATATGCCCCTTGTCTTGAAATCCCACACCTGAGGGAAAAGACACTTGCCATTCACCAAGTCTATACCCCTCATGATTTTATAAACCTCTATAAGATCACCTCTCAACCTCCTATGCTCCAATGAAAAGACTCCCAGCTTATCCAGTCTCTCCTTATAACTCCAATCCTCCAAACCCGGCAATCTCCTGGTAAATCTCTTCTGAACCCTCTCCAGCTTAATAATATCCTTCGTATAGCAGGGCGACCAGAACTGGACACTGTAATACAGTAGAGCCCTCACTGATACCTTGTACAACCTCAACATGACATCCAAACTCCTACACTCAAAGGTCTGAGCAATGAAGGTAAGTGTGCTAAATGCCTTCCTAACCATCGTATCTATATGTGATGCAAACTTCAAAGAATTATGTTAGATATTAGATAATAATATTAAATATTATATTTTTGCTTCTATCATTCAAAACCACTCGCAATAAAGGCCAAAATACAATTTGCCTTCTTTAATCAAAGTGATAACTTTCAATGATTGATAAACAAGGATACCCATGTCTCTTTGAAATTCACACTTCCTAGCCTCTCACCACATTCTCTGTATTTCTGTTTTCCCCACTAAAGTGAATAAGTTCACATTCGTTCACTTTATATTCCATCTGCCAATTGTTGCCCATCCACTGAACCTCTCCAAATCCTCTTGAAGTGTCTTTGAATCGTTCTCACACTCCAACCTAGTTTTGTGTCATCTGCAACCTTAGAGTTATTGTATTTAGTCCCCACATTCGTATCATTGATGTAGGTGGCAAATAGTTGGGGCTCAAGCATCAGTCTTTGCGATAACCCATTAGTCACGGCCTGCCAACCTAAAAATGACCCGTTTATTCCTAATCTCTGTATTGCCTCTGTGAACCAATTCTCAATCCACGATAGTATATAGCCCCATGTACTCTAATTTTATTTACCAACCTCTTTTGTGGGACAATATCAGAAGTATTCTGAAAATCTAAATATACCACATCGACTGGTTCCCCCTTACCTATTCCACTAGCTTCATCCTCAAAAAAAATTCCAACAGGTTTGTCAAACTTGATGCCTCTTTCTCAAACTAAACACTGATTCTTCCAAATCCAAGCATTACTTTCTGCATGTCCTGTTATCACACCCTTTATTATAGATTCAAGCATTATCCATACAATTGAAGTCAGACTAATGGATCTGTAGTTCCCCATGTTCTCTGTTAAGTAGTGAGGTTACATTGCTACCTTACAATATTCTGGGACACATGTTAATGACTCAAGCAGATAGCACAGCCTGTGGGACCTTCAATATTTGATCACGCATGAAAACACAAGTTTAATCTGGTACTCAGTTCAGTTTCGATTAAGTTTTGACTATTTCGGTGAGTTAGCAAGATGCATTCCTATATTTGGAGGGAGATTGGGTGAAGTGGGAGAGGGAAATACAACAGTTGGTGGGAGATAATTGGAAACATGTCTGGGAGGATTTTGTAGCCTTGCTCTCTGGAGTACTATTGACATGGGGCCTAGAAGAAATCAAGGGATGGTGTGGAGAAAGATGATTGTTTATATCCACAAATCCAGAATGATTTACAGCCAGTAAATTCATTCATGGGGGAGGATGAAACATCAAGAGGAAATGGAAGGTCAGGTCTTACATAGAAGCCCAGCAACAGACCATTCAGCCCACCAGATCCATGCTGGCATTAATGCTTCACACATGAATAGGAAGTGTTTAGAGGGATTTAGGCCAAATGCTGGCAAATGGGACTAGATTAATTTAGGATATCAGGTCGGCATAGTTGAGTTGGACCAAAGGGTCTGTTTCCGAGCTGTACAGCTCTATGACATTATGCCTCCTCCTGTTCTATTTACCTGTAAATGTAACTGAAATTTGAAACTCTCAATAAAAAATAAAATCAAAGCGCTAGACTTTTGTTGGGCAAAGCTAGTGAGTGCTACAGAACCAAAGTAGGCACATAAAGTTAAGTGTCAAGCATTTGAGCTGTCAAACATAGTTCAGGGGCTGAATGGCCTACACCTGATCCTATCTCACCTTAGCTATAACTTCAGCTCATGACCACTTGTATTAAAAATTGTAAATGTTCATGGCCAGCAAACAGATACCTTCATTATTTTGAGTTGAATAGATTTTATTTAAAAGTTCATATTGAATCGGATACTCACGGGATGACAAATTCCTGTGTATTGTTGATGATTTGCTTTCCAACCATGATGATTAGCAGTTCCTGAGCTAATTCAATAAGGCAGCCACCAGCGCCACACTGCAAACAGAAAACAGCAGCTGGTAATCCATTGTAGATATTTTTTACCAGCCTGTTGTGGGTCCTGTCTGGAGCTGATGGGGCTTGAGTCTGGGCCTTCTGGCCCAGCGATACAGACAGTACCACTACACCTCAAGAGGCCCAATAACCTGTATGCTTGACAGCCCATTGTGAAATCAGCAATGGCCAACAAAAATGGAGGGGACTATATAGTGAAAATCCACAGTGGGTTGCATTAAGGAGAGGTATCACTCTTCAATAGGACAGAGAGCCAACATGGCTTTATTAGAGGAAAATTTCTTCTATATTCAGTTGAGGAGGTAATTAACAACAGAATCTAAGGATGTTGCCTGCATGGACTTCGAGAAAGTATCTCATAAAGTTCCAAATGAAAGATACGTCAAAATGTGGTTTTTAAAAATATATTCATCTTTGGGATCTGAGTGGCAATCCAGTTCAGCATTTATTGGCCCTAGTTGGTAATGAAGGTGATGATGAGCTGCCTTCTTGAACCGCAGCAGTCCACGGGGTATAGGGACATCAACAATGCCCTTGGGGAGGGAATTCCAGGATTTTGACCCAGTGACAGTGAAAGAACAGAGATATATTTCCAAGACAGGATAGTGAGAGGTTCAGAGGGGAACTTGAAGGTGGTGGAATTCCCTTGTATCTGCTGCCCTTGTCCTTCTAGATGGTTGAGGTCACTATTTTGGAGGGTAAATGCTGTAGGTTATTTTCTATTTTTATTAAAAAAAAATTATTTCACCGGACATAGGCATCGCTTGCTAACCCAGAAATTGTTGCCCATTAAGATGTAAATGGATTGGAGGCAGCTCAGAGAAGGTTTTCTAAACCAATTCCTGGAACAAGGAAAGGTGGGGCAAGGCTAGACTTGTATCCACTGGAGTGTAGAAGTATAAGAGGTGACTCAATTGAAACACACAAGATCCTGAGGAGCCTTGACCAGGTGGATGTGGAGAAGATGGTTTGTCTTGTGGGAGAATCTAGAACCAGGGGATCAACGTTTAAAAATTAGGGTTACCCATTTAAACAGAGAAAAGGCAAAGTAAATTCTCTTAAAGGGTCATGAGTCTTTGGAACTCTCTTCCTGGAAGTAGCCTTGAATATTTTTAAGGCAGTGGTGGACAGATTGAAAGATTATCCAAATAGATGTTGTAAGAACTCAGGATGCCTGGCTGGAAAGGAATATCATTTATAGTTGAACACCAAGATGGGGCCGCTATTTGTGGTGCACATAGGCCAGACACAGACCAGGACAGACAGACCCACCTCCTTTTTTTCGAATCATTCTGTTCCGAGATGTTATGGCATACCTGCTGGCTCAGAGATAGGGACATGTCACTGTATCACAAGAACTCATGGGTCTGCTTTTTTTTAATACATACCCAGAACAACTGAGCATCTTTCCCACCACAAAAATCATTGTTTAGGTCTGCTTTTTTTTTAAGTAAAACTGCTCAAAGATGTTATTATATACAGCAGGTGGGACTTGAACCTGGGCCTCCCAATTCAACATTACCACTGTGCCGCAGCAGCGCTCCAGCCCCCAGGTCTGCTTTTTCTTTTAAAATGTGAGGGAGAGTTTGGGAAGGGATCTGGGTCTGCTTTATTTTTATATCTTTCTAATTGACCTGCGCAGAGATATCATGACATATTTCTGGAATGACAGGACTTGAACCCAGGCCTTCAGGGTCAGAGGTAGAAATATTGTCACTGTGCCACAAGACCCTTCTGGGTCTGCTTTATTATATTTCACTAATCAACCTGCTCTGTTATTGCACACATCTTGAGCTTGAACCTGGGCCTCCCAGTCCAGGGGTAGGGACACTGCCAATGCACCACTTTTTGGGTCTGCTTTCTTTAATGTTAGATATTTTCTAATCAACCTGCTCTGGTTCTGATTTTTCTTCTCTTTTTCCTCTCCACCCAGTAGCATTATCACACACAGTCGAGCGACTTTCCCACCACCGAAACCACAGCGACTTCTTTTTTCACTTTCTTTTTCCCCTTTTTAAACACTAACCACCACCAATAAAACACCCAGATAGCTAATTAAATATTTATATGCAATGCCCATTGGGAGCAATTCAAACCATTAGAAGTGGAGGCTGGGCAGGAAGAGAGGGGAGGGGACAAATCAAAATGAAGTTGGAGGGGGTGTCTGCTTTATGGGGTAGAGACACTACCACTGTACCATAAAAGGACTAGGTTTCTTTTCTTAAACCTATTTCTCTGATCAACCTGTTCAGAGATGTTATTTCATATCTCTGGAGTAGGTGGGACTTGAAGCCAAGTCTCTCGGTTCAGGGGAGGGACGCTACCACTGCACCACAGGAGGGCCCTTTTTAGGCTGTCAAAGATGACTGGAGGGGTCACAGACCATGTCAAGTGATTTCTACCTGTGCTACAATGTGGGGCACAAGGGCATGTTTGGACATGAGTTCAGGCCGAGCGGTGAACTAAGATATGCTAACAACTGCAATTACAAAAATGATGTAACAATTAGGAAGGAGGCATATGTGCATAATAGTGTCACGGAAGAACAAAAGCGAATCATAGAAGACAGGAAGGTGATGCTTTGTGGACCCCACCTGACTGTGTAGGACAACAAGAGCTGGAAATTGTAATGGGAGATGAACATAAAGATTGGGTCTCTAATAGATGTACATTAATCCAAGGATCCAGAGGGTCTGCTGGTTTTCTATTATCTGGTCCAGGATTTGAAATGTCTAGTTGTCAGTTTTAGTGGGCTAGACTTCAAGATCAAACCTATCCAAGAGTTTGGTTTTCACACCAAGATGATGATGGAATTGGGGATGGACAGAGACCCAATAATTTGAAATGGACTAACCACGTGCTACAGCAGCTAAATTTATCTTATGTGGATTTGGTATTTTTTATGTGAATATATAAACAACTCCATCTTGATTACAAAATAATTAATTTCCTTTTTATATTAAAATAAATGAAATTAAAAGAAGAGTCACAGCCATTGAGTCATACAGCACAGAAGCAGACCCTTCAATCCAACCAGTCCACGCCAAACATAATCTCAAACTAAACTAGTCCCACCTGCCTGCTGCTGGCCCATATCCCTCCAAACTTTTCCTATTCATATATCCATCCAAATGTCTTTTAAACATTGTAATTGTATCTGCATCCACCACTTCCTCAGGAAGTTCATTCCACACGTGAACCACCCTCTGTGTGAAAAAATTGCCTCTTACGTCTTTTTTAAATCTCTCTCCTCTCACCTTAAAAAATGTACCCCCTAAGTTTTGAAATTCCCCATTTTAGGGAAAAGACAACTACCATCAACTCTATCTATACATCTCATTATTTTATAAACTTCTATCAGGTCAGCTCTCAACCTCCTACGCTCCAGCGAAAAAAGTCCCAGCTTATCCAGCCTCTCTTTATAACTCAAACCTTCCATGAGGTTGTTGACTTGCTCACTGAGCTGGCCTGTTCTCGTTCAGACATTTCGTCACCATGCTAGGTGACATCGTCAGTGGAGCCTCCGATGAAGCGATGTTGTTCTACTCTGCTTGGAATTTATACTGTTAGGTCCTTTATGGTGAATAGTGTCATTTCCAGTTTTGATCTGTATGGGTTTGCATACTGAAGAGACTAATGGATTCAGGGCAGATAACCAAGATGGACTACATAAGAAACCAGAAGGCACAAACACCCCCCACTCCCCCCCAAATCCCCCCCACTTCTATAGACTTCCTAAAGTACATAAACCAGATATCCCCCTCAGACCATTTTTTCCCTACCAGGCACACCTTCACACAAACTGGCCAAGGACCTACAACTGAGATTGAAACACCTAGTCGACGGATCACCCCATTCCATCCCCTCAACCCAAGATTTCCTCAATACCCTCAAGAACATAAAAGTCAGTGATGACGAGATTATGGTATCCTTTGACCTCACAGCTTTATTCACATCAATCAACAAACCACTAGCCAAAGAAACAGTCGCCACATTACTAGAGGAAGCAGCAACGCAGACCAGCAGCTCCATCAGCAATGACAACATACTTAAACTACTAGATCTCTGCCTCACCACACACTTCATCTTTAATGGTCAAGTATACAAACAGATCAACTGTACACCAATGAGTTCACCCATCTCAGGACTCATTGCAGAAGCAGTCATGCAAAGACTAGAACACACCACCCTCCCCCACATTCAACCTAAACTGTGGATCCAGTACGTAGATGACACATTTGTCATTATTAAATGCAACAAATTAGAAGAGACCCACCACCTCATCAACAGCATATTCTCAGGGATTAAATTCACAAGGGAAGAAGAAAACAACAATCAACTTCCGTTTCTGGATGTTAAAGTTGAACGTATGACCAACGGGGAGTTCCAAACCTCAGTATAAAAAGCAACCCACACTGATCAGATCCTCAACATCCACAGCAACCACCCGAACGTCCACAAACGAAGCTGCATCAGGACACTATTTAAATGAGCCAGGACACACTGCAATACCTTGGAACTATGCAGGAAAAAGAAAGAGCACCTATACAAAATCCTCACTATAAATGGATATCCCCGCAACTTCATCCGCAGATGCCTATTAAACAGACAGCAGGAGGAGGACACAGTACACCCTAACACATTGCCATGCATCAGGAACATATCGGAACTGACAATATACTCCTAAGACCACTAGGAATCATGGTGGCCCACAAGCCCACAGCCGCTCTACGACAAACACTTACAAGGGTTAAAGACCATTTCCACAACATGCAGAACCAACATGGTTTACAAAACACCATGCAACGACTGCCACAAACATTACATCGGACGGACAGGAAGGAAACTAGCCATCAGAATACATGAACATCAGCTAGCAGCAAAACACCACGATGAACTCTCCTTAATATCCGTACACTCAGACAATGAAGGCCATCAGTTTAACTGGGACAACATAACAAGAGGAGCCCAAGCCAAACACAGACACGCACGGGAATTCCCAGAGGCATGGTTCTCCACCAGTAATGCAATCAACAAACATATAGAATTGGACCCCATTTACAAATCCATACAGATCAAAACCGGAAATGACACAACTCACCATAACGGACCAAACAGTATAAGTTCCAAGCGGAGTAGAATAACATCGCTTCATCGGACGCTCCACTGATGATGTCACCTAGCATGGTGACGAAATATCTGAACGAGAACAAACCAGCTCAGTGAGCAAGTCTATAACCTCACCCACAACCCAAGCTACAGACCTTTGCCAAAACTTCAAACCTTCCATACCTGGCAACATCCTGGTAGATGACCTGGTTCTCTGGATTTACAATCTAATGATAATACCACTAGGCTATCGCCTCCCCTGGGAATTTTTTATTTAACCTGATTTTCTAATCAACCTGTTTAGAGATGTTATTACACACCTCTGGAACAGGTGGGACTTAACTGGGCCTCCTGGTTCAAGGTAGAGGCACTACCACTACACCACAAGAGGTCCTCAGGGGTAGGGTTTTTTTGTTAATCTGTTTTTCTAATCAACCTGTTCAGAGATGATATTATGCGCCTCTGGAGCAGGCGGGGCTTGAAACTGGGCTTCCTGGTTCAGGGTAGGGACACTACCACTGCACCACAAGAGGGCCCTCTGGGGTATAAAGGGCTCAGGTGATGAGTTCCATTGCCTGTTATCAAAGGAATGCATACTCAGTAAGCTCCACAGGCAGATTAATAAGTGAGCTCCCATGGGCCTTGCAGGGATTATTACAAGATGGGAATGTGACTTTGAAGTTACTATCAGATCAGCCAAGATCTTATTGAATCGGGGAGCAATGAGGTGCAGAATGGCCTATTCCTGCATCTGATCTGTATTTCTTCCTAGCTGCCTTGCGAAAGTGGTGGAGAGCCACCTTCATGAACTGCTACAATCTAGGGGGCGAGGGTTCACTCAGAATGTTGTTAGGAATCCACAAAACACCAACATCAGTAATATTTAACCTGTGTGGCATCCTTTTATGGTTGAATTCAGAACATAAGAGCAAAACAGGTTTTATAACAAGTTTTCAAAACAAGATGGTGGTGGCATTATGGTAGGGAGTCACTTACAAAGGGAAAGGCAATAGTGAGACTGCTGAAATAATTAAATGATCCAAACTATGTATTGTCACTGTGTGACATATGCTTTGGCAAGTAGCTGTGAACTGGGCTTGTGAGGAAGATAATTAAAATGTTTTAATAACTATAAAACTCCCCTTTTGTTTAAAAAAAAAACCTTAAAAGCGTGGGCATATATTGCGGTGGAAGTTTGTCAGACCAAATCTTAGCTCTAAATCCCAGACTCCTTTCCATATTTAGATTGGGAAGCCACATCTTTTGGGTAGATTCGAGGTGTCCATTCCATAGTGGCAATGCACACCTTTAAATTCACCCTCAATGCTGTAAAGGGAAGGAACCAGGGGGTCTTTGAGACCCAGGCCAGGGGGTCCTGCAATCAGAAGGGACTGCTCACATCAGAAATACTTATCTGTATCTCTGTCACATAGTTACTTAACGTTACAGGCCACATATTGCCCTTAATAGAATCAATTAAAAATACATGGGGTCAGTGGGGAAATCCACTCCCACACATCCCCAACTCGCCTATGGGAGAGTCCTACTTGTCCTGGCAAACAGAATGGAATGAGATGGTGCGGAGTTGTTCTTCCAATAACAGGGCAGTTCTTTCTTTGTGCTTGTTGCTGTCAGCGAAGTTGGGAGGGGACTGACCTGTGAACAGAGCGCCAATGGGCAGTTAGGATAGTAAGTGATAGGAGGGAGGAAGGCCCACCGTTAGCCAAGGACGGGATCAGGAGCTTCTAGCTCAATCCGGGGTTTCCATCTGCCCATCCAGGGTGGGGGCATCTGCTGGGGTGGTCAGGTATGGGGAGGAAATGGGAGAAGGGGCCTGCAAAATGAGTGTGGGGGAAATTGAATGGGCTGCAAGAGAGAGGCTGCAATAGTTTTAAATCTATCAATAAAGGAATACTCAGCTAACTGGCAACTTAACATCACCAAGGTAATGAATTACTTGCGACTGAAAGTGGAATCTCTAGTTTAGGGCTGAGAAAGTTTAGGAGCTACAATATTTAGAAAAAATGTTGTGGATCCTACTATAATGACTATTGTGTCAATTATTAACATAATTCTGAGATTAAGATTTGAGACACAGTAAAAAGAGTCTTAACTGCCTGGTTAAAATGTTCCAGCTTTAAGCATACATGATTGAAATGCGTTAGCCGTATCCTTATCCATCTGTGGACAGTGTTTTAAGGTGATGACTTTTTGTTAGTAGAAGTGAGTTGCAATTATTTTTTAGAAATCTTTTGTTGCTAACTTGTGCCTGTTGTCTTGTATCACTTTACATACCATGGAATCATGGAAATTCTTGTCTTCTGTGTTGTGGCATTTTGTTTAATTGGGTGTTGTTTATTATTGAGGAAATTGATGAATACTTCTAATTCTGTTTCGGTTCAATGCCCCATATGTCATCTCAAACACAAAATGTTATTGTGAGCATGTGATGATATAACCTATTAAACGTGTTAGTGAGATTGAAAAAGTACTCTGCAAAAGATCAAAAAGTAGCCCTCAAGAAAATAAACTGACCCCTGAATGGAATCCATGCATGACCAATAATAGGTTTGGGATCCAAAAATCCTAAGAAAGGCTAACTGGCTTGGAATTCCAGGACATCAGAGGATGGTCCCAGAATTTCCCTCAAATTGCACCAGGCTCAATGGGAGGACATTGGTGGTTGATATAGCAGGAGTACCCAGATCAGAATTTCCAATCCAAGGCTGTATTGGTTGGTGGATCCTGGTTTGATAATGCTGTATCCCCACCAGCCCCTCCTGAAATCTAAACACGTTCTCTATGATTAGGTTAGTAATCATAGAACCCCTACAGTGCAGGGATAGGCCATTCAGAGGTCCACACTGACCCTCCAAAGAGCATCCCCTAAAGACCTATTCCCTTACCCCTTCCCTGTAACCCCACATTTCCCGTGGCTAACGCACCTAACCTACACGTCCCTGAACACTATGGGCAATTTAGCACAGCCAATCCACCCTAACTTGCACATTTTTAGACCATGGGAAGAAACCCATGCAAGAATGCCTGAATGCTGATCAGAGGTCTTTTCCCAAGTTGGTGGTACTGACAATCTGTATTGTATCTTATAGGGAGAATGTGCAAACTCCACACAAGGGTGGAATCAAACCCGGGTCCCTGGTACTGTGAGGCAGCAGTGCTAATCACTGAGGAACCGTGCTGCCCGCTCTGCAGAGTGTTATAAATCTGATACCTACAGACTCGTTTCTGACTCCAAGCAGCGAGCCATAGTGTCCAGGATAACCGACAAACCTGAGAAACACAACAGAATGGAAATTGGTTTAGCATTCACTCCGTGCAAAGATTTAAGCAAAACAAGCAGATTCTGGGAGTGATCCCAATTAAGAATCCCAAGATTCTAGGTGATGTGGTATAACCGAAACATGAACACGTAAACCTCTTCCCTAGACGTTGCAATGAGGTGAAACAAACATCACTGGTCTATACAGAGAGCAAAGGAGAAGTTCACTGGAACACAGGACTTATGTGTGGGATAGGGCTCTTTGAGCCTGCTCCACTGTTTCAATCTTGTCTGATCTGGTTTTGGTGTCAACCCCGCTTTCCGGTCAGTGCACTCAACTCCCATTATCTGAACAAGAGCCTCTGAAGTCACTTTTCTCACATGGTGCTGTCTTGCTTCTTCTTAAATGCAAAAGGGATCTGCTGTGCTACTGATAAAAGTTGTGGTCATTGTCTTCGATATTTATTTCAGAAACCCATTCCACATTTTGCATTGAGATGGCATTTGACTCTTTTTGAGAGAACGGCATTTCATTTCTATCAAGGATCCTACTGGGATGGTGTGCAATACACTGCTGTATTCAAGTGTACCAGAGGACAGGTCTGTTCCGAAACATTTTGTCCCACCACAGTCAGTCTAGGAAGGGGCAACATTCAACTGCTCTTAATTGTTACCAAGTAACCTGCACATTGAGTAACAACAAGCCAGTCTCAGACCCTGCTTCCCACAATCAAATAGCACTTAGGGGACTAACTAAATACGGATACAATACAGATTGTCAGTACCACCAACTTGGGAAAAGACCTCTCATCAGGCATTCAGGCAAGATGCCAGAAGGCAGTGAGCATCCCACACCTATATCCCATCGTAAACCATCACCCAGAAACCTTATTGTAGTGAGAGTCAGATTCTCTGAATCATTTCCCAGCCAGAGAGTCAGTGAGTTGTACAGCACGGAAACAGACCCTTCGGTCCAACTCATCCTTGCCAACAAGATATCCTAAATTAATCTCGTCCATTTGCCAGCATTTGGCCCATATCCCTCTGAAACATGCCTATTCATGTGGCCATCCAGATGCCTTTTAAATGTTGTAATTCTACCAGCCTCCACCACTTCCTCTGGCAGCTCATTCCATACACACACCACCCTCTGTGTGAAAAAGTTACCCCTCAGATACCTTTTATATCTTGCCCCTCTCACCTTCAACCTATACCCTCTAGTTTTGGACTCCCCTACCCTGGGGAAAAGACCTTGGCTATTCATCTTATCCATGCCCCTCATGATTTTATAAACCCCTATATGGTCACCCCTCAGCCTCTGTTGGTCCAGGGAAAACAACCTCAGCCTATTCAGCCTTGTCCTATAGCTCAAACTCCAACCCTGGCCACATCCTTGTAAATCTTTTCTGAACCTTTTCAAGTTTAACAACATCTTTCCTATAGCAGAGAGACTAGAAGTGAATGCGGCTTTCCAAAAGTAGCCTCACCAATGTCCTGTACAGCCTCAACATAATGTCCCAACTCCTATATTCAATACACTGAGTCAGAATCCCAGAATCATATCCCCAAAAGAAATGGAAGAAACATTCAGATCCATGTCCCAGTCAGAGTCGGCCTCTTTTCAAGGTCAGAATTCAAGGAAACACCCAAAGAGACTTGACACCATTTGGTTTGAAGAGGGCAGGCACTGCTCACCGGCCTTTGAAGAAAGCAATGTAGATCGGTGAGGAGTAGAAGTTGATGAACTGGAAGACAAACACCTTGAAGGTAAAGGCATCTTCATATTTGGACTGGGTCCTATGCATTTCTGGAACAGACAGAACAAAGAGATTAAAAGTCTCCCAATTAAAATATTTATTTTCTGCTTGCCATCCACTCTTCTCAAGCTCACTGCCATACACAATATTGTTCACCCTTTCACCAGTAGACCAGTCATTCTCAATTATGACCCTCCATTATGTCCAGCTTCCCTAACGGGTCAGGGAGGGCAGCCCTGTGGGGTCACGGTATCTATTAGGTTGTCCTTTGATCCAGGGAAAAGTTTTCTTCCAAGAGTTATTTCCTGGTTGCACATGGGGCGTCGTTTGGGATTTAATAGTTTGATCTTCCACAATTGTCAACTGGAGTTGGTTAAGAAAGGACAAAGGGTTGATTGTTTGTAGAGTTAGGGATTCGACGGGATGACGGCCCTGGTGAGGCCCATCCCTGGTAAAGGAACCAAAACCAGATGTTGCTGGAGAAACTCAGAAGGCCTCGCGGCATCTGTGGAGAGGAATCAGAGTTAACACTTCAGGTCCGGTGACCCTTCTTCAGAAAAGGATTTTGGGTTTTATTCACCTTCTTTTGTTCCTCAGACCTGAGAGAAAACCAGGCTTCCATTCCAGTTCTCTTCATCATCCAAAGGTCCTGCTCTGCTGAGGGGCTGGACTTTAATGCAAAGAAGTCTAAAATTTTGGCACAAGGGATAACGAGAGGCAATGTAGGCTTAACAGCACAATTCTAAACAGCATTCAGGAATGGAGGAACCTGACAATTTTATTCAGAGAATAAAACTCTGACCAGACTCAGTTCAATCTGGGCACTGCACCTCAGGAAAGATATAGAAGGCACCCAGATTGGCACGCAGCAAGACCACAGGAGATATGGACACACAGAGACTGCAGCGTGGACTGACAAGCTATGATAATCTGATTGACCTGTACAATCTATATCGCAGCTCCTTACAATGTGTATTGACCCAGAGCTTACCCCATCTCGTGAGGAGATGAGCCAGTGAGGTATACACTCGGGCCAACAGGAGGATGACCAGGAGGTTGACCACAGATCCTGTTATACTGGCAATTCTTGGAGCCTAGAAATAAAGAATAGTGTACAATAAATATTTCAAAAAACCATAGACTAAATGATTACTATGCAATAAGATATATGTCCAAATTCAAGAACGCATTGATTTAAAATATAGGAAGTTATGATTTAAAAATATATCGAGGCCAAATCCTTCCCCAGAATGGTTCTTCGTCTTGTCTTTGTCTAATTGGTCATGTCCTACATTGACCCTTGACCTCAACTCCTCCACACCAATTGGCCCTTGACCCTGATTCCTTTGCACTGATTGGCCCTTGAATCTGACTCCTCCACACTGCTTGGTTCTTAGCTCTGCCTCAGCCTGATTGATCCGACCTCCTCCCTGCCCAGCCCAGCTCTATCCAGCTCTGTTATTGTAAGTGTATATACCATGGTAATGATTCCTTGAGCATTCTGCAGGGTCAAGGATGTCTCAGAGCGGGTACAGGACATTCTGAAGGGGGAGGGTGAACAGCCACTGGTTGTGGTACACATCGGTACAAATAACATAGGTAAAAAAGGGGATGAGGTCCTAAAGGCCTAACACAGGGAGCTAGGAAGAAAGTTAAGAAATCGGATCTCAAAAGGTAGTGATCTCAGGATTACTACTGGTGCCACGTGCTAGTGAGAGGAGAAATGACAGGATATATTGGATGAATACATGGCTGAAAAGATGGCATCAGGGGAAGGGTTTCAGATTCCTGGGCATTGGGACCGGTTCTGGGGGAGGTGGGACCTGTACAAATTGGAAGGGTTACACCTGGGCAGCACTAGGACTGATGTCCTCGGGAGAAGTGTTTGCTAGAGCGGTTAGGAAGGGTTTAAACTAATATGCCGTAATGAGCGGAGCATCTGCAATAAAGTGGATGAACTAGATCACGCAGACAGATGTAAACAGGTATGATGTAATTGTGATTACAGAGACATGGCTGCAGGTGACCTGGGATGGGAAGTGAATGTCCCAGGGTATTCGGTATTTAGGAACGACAGGCAAAAAATTAAAAAGGTGGTGGAGTGGCATTGCTGGTTAAAGAGGAAATTAACACAATAGTGAGAAAGGATATTAGTTCTGACAATGTGGAGTCTGTATGGGTACGGTTGAGAAATACCAAGGGACATTTAAAAACATTAGTGGATGTCATATATAGACCCCCAAACTGCAGTGGCGATGTTGGGAGTGGCATTAAACAGGAAATTAGAGGTGCATGTGATAAAGGAATATCAGTGATCATGGGTGATTTTAATCTGCACATAGATTGGGCAAATCAAATTAGCCACAATGCCGTAAAGGAGGAATTCCTGGAGTGTATATGGAATACTTTTCTTGACCAATATGTGGAGGAACCAACTAGACAGCAGGCTATCCTAGACTGTGTGTGTGTGATGCTCACGAAATCATTGCCAATCTAGCTGTGCAAGACCCCTTCGGTAACAGTGACCATAGGATTAAAAATTTTTTTTATCAAGGTGGAGGTTGTTGATTCGGAGACTAGGGTGCTGAACCTTAATAAAAAAGGAAGCTACGAGGAGATGAGGCGTGTGTTGGCCTTGATAGATTGGGGAGAGTTACTTAAAGGGATGACAGTGGATAGGCAATGGCAAACATTCAAGGAACACATGGGGGAACTGCAACAACTGTTTATTCCTGTCTGTCACAGCGAAATGGGTAAAAGGGCTAATCCATGGCTTACAAAATGAAATAAGACATAGTATCTGATCCAAGAAAGAAGCATACAGATTTGCCAAGAAAAAAATAATAAATCTGAGGATTGGGAGCAGTTTAGAATTCAGCAAAGAGGGACCAAGGGATTGATGAAGAAGGGGAAAACAGTATGAAAGTAAGCTTGCAGGGAACATAAAGATTGACGTGAAGAGAAGGAGATTGGTAAAGACAGATGTACGTCCCCTACAGACAGAAACGAGGGAATGTATAATAGGGGACAAAGAAATGGCTGAGGAATTGAATACATACTTTGATTCTGTCTTCACAAAAGAAGACACAAATCAGATACCAGAATTGTTGGAAGATGCAAGATTTAGTTAGAGGGAAGAACTGACGGAGATCAATAGTAGTAGAGAAATGGTGCTGGGAAAATTGTTGGGATTGAGGGCCATTAAATCCCCAGGGCCTGATAATCTGCATCCCAGAGTACATAAGGAAGTAGCTCTAGAAATAGTGGATGCATTGGTGGTCATCTTCCAGGATTCTATAGACTCTGGAACAGTCCGTGCTGATTGGGTGGTGGCTAATGTCACTCCAGTATTCAAAAAGGAAGGTAGAGAGAAAACAGGGAATTATAGACCGGTGAGCCTAACATCGGTAGAAGGAAAATTATCGAATCTATTGTCAAGGATTTTATAGCAGAGTATTTAGAAAGCAGTGGCAGGAGCAGACAGAGTCAGCATGGATTTATGAAGGGGAAATCATGCTTGAGAAATCTGTTGGAATTCTATGAAGATGTAACTAGTAGAATTGACAAGGGGAAGCCAGTCGATGTTGTATATTTAGACTTTCAGAAAGCGTTTGACAACGTCCCACGTAAAAGATTAATGTGCAAGACTAAAGCGCATGGAATTGGGGGAAGTGTATAGGAAGCTGGTTGGCAGAGAGGAAACAAAGCGTAGGAATTAATGGATCCTTTTCAAATTGGCAGGCAGTAACTATTGGGGTGCCACAGGGATTGGTGCTGGGACCCCAGCTATTCACAACATATATTAATAATTTGGATGAGGAAACAAAATGTAACATCTCCAAGTTTGCAGATGATACCAAGTTTTGTGGGAGGGTGAACTGTGATGAGGATGCAGAGATCATTCAGCATGATCTCAACAGGTTGGGTGAGTGGGCAAATCAATAGCAGATGCAGTATAGTTTGGATAAATGTGAGGTTATTCACTTTGGAAGCAACACCAAGAAGGCAGATTACTACCTGATTGGCTGTAAATCGGGAGAGGGGAGTGTGCAGTGGGACCTGGGTGTCCCTGTGCACCAGTCGCTGAAGGTAATCGTGCAGGTGCAGCAGGCGGTAAAGAAGGCAAATGGTATGTTGGCCTTCTTTGCGAGAGGTTTCGAGTACAGGAGCAGGGACGTGTTGTTTCAGTTGTACAGGAACTTGGTGAGACCACACCTAGAATATGGTGTACAGTTTTGGTCTCCTTTTCTGAGGAAGGATGCTCTTGCTCTCCAGGGAGTGCAGTGAAGGTTTATCAGGCTGATTCGGGGATGGCAGGACTGATGTATGAGGAAAGATTGATGAGGTTGGGATTGTTTTCACTAGGGTTCAGACGAATGAGAAGGGATCTCTTAGAGACTTATAAAATTCTAACAGGACTGGACAGGGTAGATGCAGGGAGTGTGTCCCCAATGGTGGGTGTGTCCAGAACCAGGGGTCACAGTCTGAGGATTCGGGGTAGATCATTTAGGACGGAGATAAGGAGACATTTCTTCACCCAAAGAGTGGTGAGCCTGTGGAATTCATTACCACAGGAAGTAGTTGATGCCAAAACATTTAATGTATTCAAAAGGTGACTAGATATAGCACTTGGGACAAATGGGATCAAAAGGTTATGGGGAGAAAGCAGGATTAGGCTGTTGAGTTGGATGATCAGCCATGATCGTGAAGAATGGCGGAGTAGGCTCGAAGGGCCGAATGGCCGCCTCCTGCTCCTATCTTCCATGTTTCTATGAAAGATTTGGGGCTGCTGCAAGACAGTCATCAAAGCAATATTTAATATCACGGTACCATTGACATGGATGATCAGAGACACAGTGAGTTCCTGGAAGGAAGTCCTGTCCCATAGGATTTTTTTAATGATCCAGAGCAGGACTGAAGCAATGTTTGACTGTCGGAGCAGTCACCATTTAGCTGAAGGGTATGGATTTTAAAGCAGAGCAGTCTAAAATGATTCAGTTTGGCAGAAAGTATAATGATCGGCAATACAGACTCAACAAACCAGTTCTAAAGAGCATTCAGGAACAGAGGAACCTGGCAATTTATTTGCATGGAACTTTGAAGATGACAGAATCTATTGAGAATGTAACTAGTAAAGACCATGGGATATTAGGATTCATAAACAGAGGTATTGAATACAAAAGCCTTAAATTCGACTGAATCAATTATAAAACTGTAGTTAGGCTACAACTACAATTCTGGTCACCGCACTTTAGGGTAGACATGAGGATCATTGCGAGGGTGCGAAGGAGATTTGCCAGAATGGTTCCAGAGATTTTAGCCAAAAGATCAGACTGGCAAAGGTTGGCACAGAGAAGAGAGGTTGAGGGGAGATTTGATCGAGTTGCACGAGATTATGGCAGATATAAACAGGACAGATAAGGGAAAGATTGTTCCCAATAGCTGATGGTGCAAATACAACGGGACACAAGATTGGGTGGCACGGTGGCTCAGTGGTTAGCACTGCTGCCTCACAGCGCCAGGGGACCCAGGTTTGATTCCAGCCTTGGCTGACAGCTTGTATAGAGTTTGCACGTTTTCCCTGTGTCTGTGTGGGTTCCTTCCCACAGTCCAAAGATGTGCAGTTTAGGTGGATTGGCCATGCTAAGTTGCCCCATAGTGTCCAGTGATGTATAAGTTAGGTGGATTAGCCATAGGGAATGCAGGGTTACAGGGATAAGATAGTGGGGTGGGATGCTCTTTGGAGGGCCAGTGTGGATTCAATGGGCTGAATGGCCTACTTCCACACTGTAGGGATTCTAGAAGGATAGGCTAGGATGTTTTTGCCTGGAGTGTATGATGTTGAGGGGTGAACTTATAGAGGTTTGTAAAACTTTCAGGGGCATAGATAAGGTGAATGACAAGGGTCTTTTCCCTAAGGTAGGGGAATCCATAAACTAGAGGGTGTAATTTTAAGGTGAGAGGGGAAAGATTTAAAAGTGACCTGAAGAGATAACTTTTTTCACACAGAGGGTGGTGCATATATGGAATAAGTTGCCAGATGAAGTGGTAGAGGTGGGTATAGTTACAACATTTAAAAGACGTTTGGATGGGCATATAAATGCGAACAGTTTGAAGGGATAATGGGCCAAATACAGGCAAATGGGACTAGTTTAGTTTGGGAACATGGTCGGATTGGAGTGGTTGAACTGGGGGATCTGCTTCTGTGCTCTATGAGTCTATGACATTTCATTGGTCAAAATGTAACCCTCTACCAATAGCCAAAACCAAACCTGATGATTGTTTCATGGCTGCAGCAGCTTGCTGGGAGAAATTGGCTATCACATGAAGGAGTGTCCTAACTTTCAGAAGACGCTTTAATTGACTATCCAGTACTTTCAGGTGTCTGAGGCTGGTCACAGGCTCCTCTCCTTGAGTTCTCTGCTTGTAGGTAGATCTGACCCACAGCAACGTGACATCCACCGAGGGCCAGGGTAAAAATGCAAGTCCTGGATCCAGAGACAGTAAGAACTACAGATGCTGGAGTCAGAGATAACACAGTGTGGAGCTGGAGGAACACAGCAGGGCCCAGGCAGCATCAGAGGAGCAGGGAAGGAAGAAATCTGAAGAAGGGTCCTGACCCGAAACGTCGACTTTCCTGCTCCTCTGATGCTGCCTGGCCTGCTGCGTTCCTCCAGCTCCATACTGTGTTAAGTCCTGGATCCAGCCCAATGAGGATCAAGCCCCATGCTGCTGGTACCAATTTCCAATTTCGCCCCAGCACACAGCTGACCAGGAATCTCTCCCGCTCTTGCAACCTGCCACTAGCGTGTGCTGTAAGGGTATACAAATTGATCCTCAGCCTGTTTTGACTGCATTACAAACACTCCTTCCTTGGTCACCAAGTCCTGGAGTGGGACTTGAACCCTGGAGTTTCGGGCACAGAGGCAGGGACACTACCCTACGTGTCACAACACCCTCATTCAGAGATGCCACAGAAACACAAATTCTTTGCTCATCTTTGAATGTGGTCACCCGGGAGTAGCCTACTCACAGTTGCCATAACAATGGTATTTCCTGTCTCATACATGAAGATGCTAATGATGGTACGGTACAGTATGACAGAAATCAGGAAGATCACAACCACTGCAGCCTGTAAAGCAAACAAACCAGAATCAGTGAATGCAGCACAACTATTGATTAGTGAAACCCAGACCCTGTTAGTTAATAACAAGGGCACAGTATTTTAATTGCACTCTGTAACAGCAGGTTCCTTTTCTATTGCATCCCGAGTTCTTTAGTTTTATTGCTTGCTTCATTCAGTTATTTTCTTGGCACATTCTGTTTGCTCTTGCCTTCTATTCTCAGGGACAAGGTAACGAGGCAGTACCCATGTCTACCTCAGCCTGGAAGGGAACTGCACCCATGCTGCCAAAGTTGTTCTGAGCCACATGCTGGAGCTCTAGCCAACTGAGCTAATTATATAAACCAACTCTCTGTTAATTTGTACAGTGTTCAGCATTAAATTGGATTCCAAGCTCGGTGGGGCAGAGATAAGGTGAATAGCCAAGGTCTTTGCCCCAGGGTGGAGGAGTTCAAAATTAAAGGGCATAATTTTAAGTTGAAAGGATAAAGATTTAAAAGGGATCCTGAGGGGCAACATTTTCACACAGAGATGGTGCGTACATGGAAGGAGCTGCCAGAGGAAATGGCAGATGCAGGGATAGTTGCAACATTTAAAAGACATTTGCCTAGATATAGGAAAGGTTTGGAGGGATATGGGCCAAATACAGGCAAGAGGGATTAGTTTGGTTTGGGAGACCTGGTTGGTATGGACGAGTTGGACTGAAGGATCTGTTTCCTTCCTGTATGACTCTATGACTCTATATAATCAAAAAAAAGGTATGAAAGTAGACTCAGATCCTATTCTTGATGGGGGGTTTATGCACAAAATGCAGTATTTCAGATCTCTGTCTCCTACCTACCAACACAACCACTGTCCCAGTAGTACCCTCTTTTATTCTCATTTGAGTGCCCATTAGCCAATAAACTATTTGCTGAACATCGAAGACGCATATTGTCAAAGCATTTCATTTTGCACCAATCAGGACAATTTGCAAGAACACCAATTCAAGGGCACACCAACATTCATACTGCAAGCAGGGGGAGTTCTAATTGATTGGCTGATTGGGATTCTGATTGGTAGAGGTGAATGCATCAGTTAGATGATGACTGACAGCTTTCAAAGGCAACATCATCAATTTAAAATACCTTTTTGAGGGGAGATAATACCCTGAAGCCCCTGTAGTGGCCACCAGCCTTGGAAGGCCTCTAAAGTGTTCCCTCTCCAGAGATACCAGGCTGTGAATGTAGCCATAAGAGGGGCAAACAGTCAGGTCAAAAAGCCCTTCCACTTACCACTAATGCCCTTTAGGGAAGGAAACTGCCACCATTACTTTGTCTGGCCTATGTGTGACTCCAGGCCCACAGCAATGTGGCTGACTCTTAACTGCCCTCTGGGCAATTGGGGATGGGCAATAAATGCTGGCCTGGCCAGTGATGCCCTCATCCCGTGAATCGATAAAATCCCGCATCTTTTCAGATATTTTCTAATCAACCTGTTCAGCAACGTTATGACACACCTCTGGAGCAAGTGGGACTTGAACACAGATCTCCTGACTCAGAGGTCGGGACACTACCAGATCCTTTTTATGGTCTTTTAAGTATTAAATAAAGAAACAAACAAACTAGTTGGCCCACTGCTTAAAGGGGCACCATGACAAAAAAGAAATGAATATTTAAAGAAAACTTAGCAAAATTGAGGTTAAAATTCTGTTTCTGGATTTGTTGATGCACTGAAACACCTGTGGTGCCCACTAGTCGCAACAGGTCTCAAGTGTGATGTTGGATATCATGTGCTCCATCTCCAAGGGCACACCAGTCAACAGGAAGTCAAAGGAAGGAAGTGTGTCTTATTTATCGAGTGCCTTTCTTACCAGGAGCAGGATCACCATGGAACTGGTGATCATTCGCTTCAGCCTGTCCTTCTCGGGGAAGTATGGCTCCTCTGACCCCGTGATTGGATTCCTCGTCGTCATGGGAGCCACGGCCGTGAACTCAGGCCGAGGGCGTTCCTGAAAATGAAAACGCCGGAACAGATCAGCCCGCCGGAATGGCGTGACGTGAGGAAATCGAGCCAAGGCAGCCCGCAAATAGTCACGCGACGGATGCGTTAATGAGAAATTGTCGGCTGTATGCCTTGGGAACGCGGGTGTTAAGTAACGATCTGGGGAAGAAAATCGAGGCCTTTTGAGTGCTAAGGCGTACACAACAAATCCCATGTACAGATAAGAACAGCAATGGCCAAACAGGACCTTGTAAAATGGAAAAGGAGATGTCGGTATTTTTGAGCATTTGATCAGAACTGGAAAGCTACACAGATCTCTTCCAGAGGGCCGAGGGGAGGGCAGCAGATAAAGGGTTGGGCCTAGGGGTGTTTGGGACGATGGCTGTCACAGAGCAGCTACCGATGAGCTACAGTGGGCAGGGATGAGAGGACGGGCCAAGGCGGCACAAGCCTGGCGTACACAGTACGGCAGCAGATCCCATTGCAGGAGCTAACGGCTACAGAATGGTATTGATATCCTCACCACCTCAACACACAACTGATCACCGATAGCTGAGAGTTTCCCCATTTGCAATTGCAGCACTGAAGCTAGTTCAACATGTCACGATTTGAACACAAACCAATATCCGATGGAAATGATCAGCAGGCCGGGCAGTAGATGTGGGGCAAGAGACAGAGGCGGAATGAGAGACGCAGAGAGAGAAAGACAGAGATAGAGGGACAGTGGGGCAGAGAGGGAGGGGGGGAGAGAGAGAGAAAAGGAGGGAGACATAGAGACGGAGACAGAGGGAGAGAGAAACAGAGCGAGGGAGACAGAGAGAGGGAGAGAGACACACAGACAAATAGAGAGAGAAGGAGAGGGACAGAGAGAAGGAGAGGGACAGAGAGAAAGAGAGAGACAGAGAAAGGGAGAGACAGAATAAGAGAGACAGAGAGAGAAAGACAGAGATAGAGATACAGTGGGGCAAAGAGAGAGAGAGGAGAGAGAGAGAAAAGGAGGGAGACATAGAGACGGAGACAAGAGAGAGAGAAAAACAGAGCAAGGGACTCAGAGAGAGAGAGAGAGAGAGAAATACACAGAAAAATAGAGAGAGGAGGAGAGGGACAGAGAGAGAGAGACAGAGAAAGAGAGAGACAGGGTGCCTCTGTTTTATCCAATCAGAGCTGAGATAATTGCAGCCTGTGGAGAAATAGTCCATTTGGTCATCCTGAAACGGCCATTAATTGATCGTTAAGAACCTCAATCAGCAGCAGCTGACCCAGAACCACATTCCAGCAGAGGGGAATGGCTTTTCTGGGACACCACCAACCCCTTCCTAATAAAGTCACCATCCTACCTCAGGCGCACTGCCTCCTGGACTGGAAGATACCAGCCAAAATGTTTCGGGTCGATGAGTTTTCCATTGGAATAACGGTAAACATTCAGTTTGCGGCTGGATCCTGTGGCAAACACTTGATGGCAGACACTGATACAACAGTTTTCCTGTCATTTCTGAAAGACCTTATATCTCAATAATGCCAATCATAACGTCTGGATGTCCCAAAGAGCCCATGGGTTCCATTGCTGTTGTAATAAATGAAAGCCACCAACCAATTTATAGACAGTCAGCTCCCACAAGCAGCAACTCAATAATGTGTTTTAATGATATCGAATGGGGGCTAATCACTAGTGTTAGAATGGGAGGCAACAGCCTAGTGGTAATTATCACCAGACTTCTAATCGAGAGGCCCAGGTCATGTTCAGGGATATGGGTTCAAATCCTGCCACGACAGAAATCGGAATTTGAATTCAATACAAATCTGGAATTATGAATCTAATGATGATCATGAATTGATTGTTCGGGGGAGAAAGCACCTGGTTCACCAATGTCCTTTAGGGAAGGAAACTGACATCCTTACCCGGTCTGGCCTATATGTGACTCCAGACCCACAGCAATGTGGTTGACTCTTAACTGCCAATTAGGGATGGGCAATAAATGCTGGCCCAACTTCATCCCGTGAATGAATTTTAGAAATGTTAACTGGAGAAAGGTAGAGCATTCTCTTGCTCCTCTTCAGAAGAGTGCAATGGGATTTCTTACAAATATCTAGAGGGCGGGCAGTGTCTTGGTTTGACATCTTCTTCAAGAGACAGCCTGTCTGACACTGCTGCACTCCTCCAGTGATGTGACAGCACTGCCTCCACACTACAGCCGGATTTATCACGCCAGCTGAAGTCTCTGGAGTGGGATTGGACCCCGCAGACGCGGTTTGTGGAGGAGCAGCTGGGGGATTCGGGTAAGCTCTTGCGTGTTTTCATTTGCTCGAAATGTCTTTTACCTCAGTTTCCTCAAAGTCCAAGCAGTCCCATCTGTGGGCCATAACAGCGCGCTTTCTCTTCCAGTACTCAAGGAAGGTCACTGCCCAGAGAGACATGAAGATACTGAAGAAGACTGTTCCCCCGTTGTCAAAGAGCTGGCTCACCTGAGGTCCAGGGAGACAGAAAGGTGGCCAACAATGTAGTTACATCTACAAATGCACAAAACTCTACCTTGGCATCGAGGAGATTAAGGGGTGATCAATCTGAAGGATTTGAAATGGGTGAGGAATCCAGAACCAGACCCTATACAGGCCACAAACTTTCCCGTGTCGATCCCAGCCCAGGCTGCATTCCTCACCTCAGCTGGACTCAAGCAGATGAATTAGAAATTGGCTTTAGTGCCGGCGGGCCTGGGAAGAATCAGAGCAGACATTTCCACGCCTGCTCACCAACCGATCATGTCTGCTCACTAGTAAGTCCCTCTGCTCACTAGCAATGACACTTCTCCCACCAGCTTATGCCTACACCACCCCCTGGCTTTAAATGCCTGACTGGTGAAAGCATCGGGTTAATGTACAGGAATATTCTACTGCAGGAGGTGTACTGCAGTGCAGTCACCCCAACACACCCAGGGCACAGTCAATGGAAAAATGGGCTCACCTTGAAGAGCGAGCAGATGCTGGAGAGTTTCCAAACTTTACAAGTTGTACAAAGCGGGCACATACTGTAATTATCTCCGTGTTCGCATATTTCCTTTCTGGGTAAAGACAGAGAGAAACAGAATCCCAGAATAAAATATAATCGTGGGAACTGTGTCCATGTCACTAACCACTTGCACTGCCCTCCCAGACCACACACTGACTCATTCCTCTGTTATTTTATTCTCATCATCTTTCCAATTCAGACAAGATGGTAAGCCACATTCAGACTGTAGTTTTGTTCAGTACGCCCACATTCATACAGTGTGACCACATTAATACAGTAGTACAGTGTGACCACATTCAGACTGTAGTTCTGTACAATGTGACCACATTCAGACTGTAGTGTTGTTCTGTGTGATCATAGTCAGTCTATAGTACTGTACAGTGTGGTCATAGTCAGATTGTAGTTCTGTACAGTGTGACCACATTCAGACTGTAGTTCTGTACAATGTAACCCCATTCAGACCGTAGTTCAGAATAGCGTGATCATATTGAGTCTATACCATTATTCATTGCAGTGATCATATCTATGCTGTAACTCTGCATAGTAGAAGCATATTCTGACTATACAGAATGACCATGTTCAGACTGTATCAGTATACAGGTGACTATAATTGAACTGTAGCATATATATTGTGACTATATTTGGACTGTTAAATCCCTAGTTTATTGTTTGGTGTAAGACTTACGCAGGAATGTCACTCAGCACCTTGCTGATTCCAACAATGAAAACTGCAGTTCCTACAATTGCTGCTGGTAACAGCCACCCTGTGTAAAATCCTGAAAAAACAATAACAAGTTAACTTTAATTATTGAACCTACAGCAGATCGCTGTATTCAAGCTGAGAGTCAGTCCTGGCTTAGCGTATAGCAGTCAGTGGTACAGAGAGCAGGAGGGGCTCTGATCATGGACACTGATGGCATGAGGATAAAATACAACGACGTAGGACACAGAAACAGGCCATTCAGCCCAACAAGAACACTCAAGCCTCCTCCTATCTCATGTAAATTTACCATCGTAACCCTCTATTCCCTTTGTCCTCACTTGGCTGGTAGAGTTTCCCTTAAAAGAATCATTACTAATTAATTCACATCAAACATGTCCTGTGCTGACAAGATTCTGACCCCAATGATTGGAAAGGCATTTGTTATGAATTCTCTATTGGATTTTTTTTAGCAACAATCTTATTTTGATCCCCACTGTTCCCCACAAGAGGAAAGATCCTCTCTGTATCCACTCTTTCAAAACTTTCCATCATTTCCTCAATCAGGTCACCTCTCGTGGTTGTATTTTTCAGAAGTGACCCAGTCTGTCAACTGTTTCTGATGTTTATACGTGCACTTTTCAGCTATCATCCTTTTTAATCTCTCCATACTCTTCTTATAAGAGATCACAACCAACACCGGTACATAGCTAAGAGACATCCCCTGCTAAGTGCAGTGATGAACACATGGAGGCAGTCTTGGGTAGGATTAATAAAACACTGTCCCCATTTGAAGAATGACTTGATACATCAAAGGACAAGGGTTAGAAAGATGGTATTTCACAGTCCCCTCCACTGCAGGCAGCTAGTGAATCAGGACATGGTAGGTCATGTCTTCAGGAATAGTGCCAGAAGACTGGAGACTAGCAAATGTTGTCCCCTTGTTCAAGAAGGGGAGTAGAGACAACCCTGGTAATTATAGACCAGTGAGCCTTACTTCGGTTGTGGGTAAAGTGTTGGAAAGGATTATAAGAGATAGGATTTATAATCATCTAGAAAGAAATAATTTGATTAGGGATAGTCAACACGGTTTTGTGAAGGGTAGGTCGTGCCTCACAAACCTTATTGAGTTCTTCGAGAAGGTGACCAAACAGGTGGATGAGGGTAAAGCGGTTGATGTGGTGTATTTGGATTTCAGTAAAGCGTTTGATAAGGTTCCCCATGGTAGGCTATTGCAGAAAATACGGAGGCATGGGATTGAGGGTGATTTAGCGGTTTGGATCAGAAATTGGCTAGCTGTAAGAAGACAGAGGGTGGTGGTTGATGGGAAATGTTCATCCTGGAGTTCAGTTACTCGTGGTGTACCTCAAGGATCTGTTTTGGGGCCACTGCTGTTTGTCATTTTTATAAATGACCTGGATGAGGGCGTAGAAGGATGGGTTAGTAAATTTGCGGATGACACCAAAGTCGGTGGAGTTGTGGATAGTGCGGAAGGATGTTGCAGGTTACAGAGGGACATAGATAAGCTGCAGAGCTGGGCTGAGAGGTGGCAAATGGAGTTTAATGCGGAAAAGTGTGAGGTGATTCACTTTGGAAGGAGTAACAGGAATACAGAGTACTGGGCTAATGGTAAGATTCTTGGTAGTGTGGATGAGCAGAAAGATCTCGGTGTCCATGTGCATAGATCACTGAAAGTTGCCACCCAGGTTGATAGCGTTGTTAAGAAGGCGTACAGTATGTTAGGTTTTATTGGTAGAGGGATTGAGTTTCGGAGCCATGAGGTCATGTTGCAGCTGTACAAAACTCTGGTGCGGCCGCACTTGGAGTATTGCGTACAGTTCTGGTCACCGCATTATAGGAAGGATGTGGAAGCATTGGAAAGGGTGCAGAGGAGATTTACCAGGATGTTGCCTGGTATGGAGGGAAGGTCTTATGAGGAAAGGCTGAGGGTTTTGAGGCTGTTTTCGTTAGAGAGAAGAAGGTTAAGAGGTGACTTGATAGAGACATACAAGATCATCAGAGGATTAGATAGGGTGGACAGTGGGAGCCTTTTTCCTCGGATGGTGATGGCTAGCACGAGGGGACATAGCTTTAAGTTGAGGGGTGATAGATATAGGACAGATGTCAGAGGTAGGTTCTTCACTCAGAGAGTAGTAAGGGCGTGGAATGCCCTGCCTGCAAAAATAGTAGACTCGCCCACTTTAAGGGCATTTAAATGGTCATTGGATAAACATATGGATGATAATGGAACAGTTTAGGTTAGATGGGCTTCAGATTGGTTTCACAGGTCGGCGCAACATCGAGGGCCGAAGGGCCTGTACTGCGCTGTAATGTTCTATGTTCTATGTTCTATGTTCTATGGGAAGACATGCAGAGAATTTGTTTGCAGAGTGACCAGCCAATAATGAGCTCCTGTAAGTAAAGTCTCACTTGTTGCTTAGTAAGTTAATAAAGTGTTTTCACATAAAATGGAAATTATCTCTTTCTACTGTTGTCTTTTCCAAAATGGCACCTGGTACTTTTGATGGTGTTCAAGCAAGTTTTATAAATTTGTACATCCGCCTGTCTGTTTGAAAACTGCAAGCCAGTGAATAAGGTTCTCTATTGGAGACCTAGATTCTGTGAGTCGCACATGAATACATGCAGTAACTGTGCAGGGGCACACAATATTACACTGTGTGAAGCTGAATCACACACGCTCATGGGCATTTACTTAAGTACAGATCCTGCGAAATGTGTGAATCCATTGCTTAAGTCAGTACCAGCATGTTCTCCTTTCTACATAAAATAAATAAGCAATTATAACTGCAGAGTTTTATTCATACTCAGTATTCATGGTGGATTGGGGGAGGTGTTGATTAGAAAGGAGGTTGAAGGTTTACTGACGGTACTGTACTCTGCACCAGCTCTGAACGCCTGATTCTAGGCTTGCCTTGTTCCATTGCAGATTTTGAACTGGTCATAGAGTCGTAGAGCTGTACAACACAGAAACAGACTCTTCAGCCCAACTTGTCCATGCCAACAATATATCCTAAATTAATCTAGTCCCATTCACCAGCATTTGGCCCATATCCCTCTAAACCCTTCCTATTCACGTACCCATCCAGATGCCTTTTAAATGTTGTAATTGTACCAGCCTCCTCCACTTCCTCTGGCAGCTCATTCCATACACGCACTACCCTCTGTGTGAACATGTTGCCTCTTAGGTCCCTTTTAAATCTTTCCCCTCTCACCTTAAACTTATGCTAAGGTTGTTGATTTGCTCGCTGAGCTGGCTTGTTCTCATTCACCCACAACCCAAGCTACAGATTTTTACCAAAACTTTAAACCTATGTCCTCTGGTTTTGGACTCCCTTACTCTGGAGAAAAGACTTTGACTATTCACCCCATCTATGCCCCTCATGATTTTATTCACCTCTATAAGGTCACCCCTCAGCCTCCAATGCTCCAGGGAAAATAGTCCCAGCCTATTCAGCCTCTCCCTATAACTCAAGCACTCCAACCTTCGCAATGTCCTTCTAAATATTTTCTGAATCCTTTCAAGTTTCATGACAGCTTTCCTAAAGCAGGGAGACGAGAATTGAATGCAATATTCCAAAAGTGGCCTAACCAATGTCCTGTACAGCTGCAACGTGACCTCCCAAACCCTATACTCAATGCACTGACCAATAAAGACAAGCGTACCAAATGTCTTCTTCACCATCCTGTCTACCTGTGACTCTACTTTCAAGGAACTATGAACCTGCACCCCAAGGTCTCTTTGTTTGGCAACACTCTCCCAGACCTTACTATTAAGTGTATAAGTGCTGCCCTGATTTGCCTTTCCAAAATGCAGCACCTCACATTTACCTAGATTAAACTCTATCTGCCACTCCTCGGCCCATTTGATCAAAGTCCCGTTGTGCTCTGAGGTAAACAATGATCAAACTGAAAAGCCACTCAGGCAGAACCGTACCTATCCATGTGAAGTAAAAGGCAATCTTCTCTCCAAAGTAATTCCGGATATGGTCCAGAGGCTGGTATTTGTACCACTTGCTCCAGCGAGCCCAATACTCATACAGTACCTGCCTGTGGCTGAGCTGTTCACCTTGTTCACCCTGAGCCTGGTATGGACCCTGTGGGCAAAACCAATGGAGACATTAGCAATTACCTGGCTCTCAAACGGTTGATCAGCGTTTACACCAGCATTGCCTTCCCTCTACTTGTTACATTCTTTTACTTAGATATAAACTCGCCAGTCGCATAAGGAGATGTGAAGCAATAATGTGGCTTCCTAATTTGAAGGATCAGACTATTTACAGATAGATTTACTGGGAGGCCAGGCTAAGTGCGTCTGATCTTGAATCCTGCGACGTCAGAACATCCTTACGGGATGAATTAGAATTAGATAACAATTGAATGTGGTTTAGGCTACACTACCTTAAAGGTACACACACATCATATCTTCACTAGGCTCCGCATTACCCAGGCAAACCACAAAGTGGAAACATTCCTGCCATGCCCATGGTTTTGTCCGAGCAAAACCTTTGGCTGGACTGGCCTGCTAAATCTTTCACTGGAGCCCTTCCTGATGGGGAAAGATCTGATAGTCAGAGGGTGGATGGAGTCACACAGGGCAGTGGTTAAAAGGTAGCACCGACTCTGTTCTGAGGAAGAGTCACCGGACCCGAAAGGTTAACTCTGGTTTTTTTCCTTTACAGATGCTGGCCAGACCTGCTGAGCTTTTCCAGCAACTTCTGTTTTTGTTCCCGACTCTTTATTTTTCCTCAGTTAGCTTTTCAAAATAAAACAGGCCACAGATCAGGCAGGCTGACAGCGCCCAACTCTCCAGTCTTATCCCAAAAGGCTCTAACCGTAACACCGGAGAAGTAAATACTGATTCATGCTGAATTGTACCATTCCCAATGATTCTTGTCTCTGCCTCTCACTGGCTCCCACTCCTTGTTTTCACTCTCACTGCTGCCTTTCTGCCCCTCTCCCTTGCTTCTTTATTCTTCGGTCGAGCCTGTTGTTTATTCTCTTTCCCCTTCGCTATTTCTCTCCAGCTTCTTCCTTTCCTTTTTTCCTCAGTGTGGTTCCTTTCATCAAACTGCTAGTTTAAACCATTGACAAGCTCCACAATGAACAACATGGAGCAAGTTCCTATACTTTTCATTCTAACCTTTTGATTTTGTTTTTGTATATAGAAGCTCCTTTGCAATGTCTTATTAGTTTTAATACTGACTTTCTTATATAGATGGCCCTTAGAGTTTGGGCCTCCCACAAGTAGGAAGTTCGTGCTCACAGATGGGCAGCATGGTGGCTCAGTGGTTAGCACTGCTGCCTCACAGCACCAGGGGCCCAGGTTCAATTCCACCCTTGGGTGACTGTCAGTGTGGAGTTTGCATGTTCTCCCGTTGTCTGTGTGAGTTTGCTGCCACAGTTCAAAGATGTGCAGATTAGGTGGATTGGCCATGTTAAATTGTCCAGGAATGGGAAGGCTAGGTGGGTTAGCCATGGGAAATGTGGGGTCCCAGGGAGAGGGTTGGTCTGGGTGGGATACTGTTCAGAGGGTTAGTGTGGACTTGATGGGCTGAATGCCCTGCTTCCACATGGTAGGGATTCTACATTTATCATTTTGAAGAACTCTATGGCCAGTCTTCAGTATTCTCCTTTTCAGGGAGAGCAGGCCCAGCCTGTTCTCTCCTTCCTGATACGTACTACCTCTCAGCCCAAACAGACAAGACCTTTTCTTGTATTTTCTCCAATGCCTCTATCTCCCTCTGACCTCCAGGCAGGTCCCCAGATTTGGGGGGTGGGGTGGGGGAGGTGGGGGGTGCGGCAGAATCAAAGCCCCTGCTATTGGCACCAAAACAATCCACACAGACCATCCATCCAATCCGTGCCCACCAACCCCAAAGGGGTCCGAATAACCATGGCAACATACATGTTGTCAACTGGATAGTGTTGATGGAGGCTCCAAATTTCCTCACCATTGATGTGTATCAGAAGGATTTACAGATTCACAAATTGGCCTGTTTGACCACTGTTATGAATGCACATTCGTTGGCCTGGATTGGACATGAACCCAGAGCTCTGGCTCTGACGCAAGGACACTACCTTCTGTTCTGAAAACCCTCCCCTACTACCTCTATCTCTCTTTTGTAATATCTTGGGAACAGTACTGCAAGGGCGATCTTAAAAAAAAATCTAAGTGTAATGAAATGTCAGTGGTTTTGAATTCTATCCCTCTAGGAATGAATCCCAATGCACAGTTTGCCCCATAATCCAATGTTGCTGCTTTAAATAATTAGTACATCCGTACCATACCCCATTCAAATGCTGATTTTCAAAGGATTGTGTGCTCTCCTTTATTGCCCCTATTGAAATACATCAACTCATGTTTATCTACATTGAAACAATTTGTCAGTTTCAGACCCAATCGACAATGTCTGTTAATGTTGTATTATACTGTGTGGCACTATTCCTCAGTGTCAAACCTACCAGTTTGTCCCAGTTGGTGTTCAGTTGTAATGTACAGACACCCAGAATGTCAGCTGCAGGAAGAAGGTGGTGTGCAGGCAATGACAGAGAACTAGTAATCCAGGACACCCTATGCTAATGTTCCATCAGCATAGATTCAAATCCCATGAGGACAGATGGTGAATTCTGAACTCAATAAAAATCTCGATTAAAAACAAACTAACCTAAGGATGGCCATAAATCTGTGGTTCACCTTTAGGGAAGGAAATCTGCTGTCCTTGCCTGGTCTGGCCTACATGTGACTCCAGACCTAGAGCACCCTCTGGACAATTAGGGATGAAGCAAACACCCAAATCCCATGAGTTTTGATTTTAAATGTTGAGGGACCCATGACAGACCAGTTTAGGTATCACTGGCGTTTGGAACTTAAAACAATAAAGCAAAGCTCTTACATCATGAAGGGGAAAGGCTGCGGTAAACACGTTCGCGGTCAACAGACTATTGATGCCAATCTGAGCCTTTCGCTGAAGCCCATACTTAGTCCTTGCTAATATTTCATAAGCCTGTCCGAGGAGGAAAAGAAATGACAAACGTCAGAATTGATCGAATACATTAGTAAAGATGTGAAGTTAGCATGTTCTCCCCATGTCTGCATGGGTTTCCTCCGCGTGCTCCGGTTTCCTCCCACAGTCCAAAGATATGCAGGTTAGTTGGGTTTTCCATGCTAAATTGCCCACAGTGTCCAGGGATGTGGGTTTCAGGGATGGGGGGGATGTGTCTATGTCCGGATGGGATGCTGTTCAGCGGGTCAGTGTGGACTCGATGGGCTGAATGGCCTGCTTCCACACTGTAGGGATTCTATGGTTCTAGTTTTGAAGCAGGGTTTAGAAGCTGCAGTACATCTCTTCCCCATTACTGTCACCCTCAGAGTTTTCTCTTGATGCTTTTCCTCCTGGGCTGGAGAATTGTCTGTGAGACAATCTATCTTTTTCAGAACTTGCATTTGTCAAGGGTGTGTTTATGGAATGGTACTATGTTGGAACAGTTAATTAATAGTAGCCAATAATCTTTTATTCTGTTAAGTTTCCCAATAGAGTTAAGTTATTCCGATTTCTTCTTTCTTATGTTGTATTTTAACTGTAGTGTATGAATAAAGTGTGTTTTGCTTCAAGTCTGGTCGTTTGGCTAATCGAATTGCATCTGGAATACAACGCCTTACACTTGCCTTCAAAATAAGAAAAAGTTAGAGTCTAGGCAATCTTCTTAATATATTTTGAGGGGGTTTGGTCTGGTCCATTACCAACAGGATGTTGCCATCAAACCATAAAGATGATGTGCCTACAATACAATGAGTGGTATATGAATTTCAGTGCCAGTGTGGTGCTGGTTTATAAATCCTACATCTGCCAGCTGTTGCAATGTAGCAAACAGCACCTTTGAAACAGACAGAATACTGGCTTACTGAACTAGCTCGTGCTTGCAAATCTCAAGCAGTGCCCAACACTAAATCTGATTGTGTGATTGGACAGCACTGACTAAACAATATCAAGTACGCAAAGTACATACAATCAATTTAAGATGATCAGTCAAGCTTGCATTAATGCTTGCTAGAGACTACATACATTCATATTCAGGCCCCTGTTCTCTGCAGGTAAAAAGAACCAAATATTGTGCCTTTTTCAATTAAGCAAGAGTTTGGGGGATATCTGTACTCGTCTCCATGACAATACTTTAACCAATCAGAAACCATTTGCCGACCAATCAGCACCCTTATTCCCATGCAATATAAATTGTTATTCTGTTTGAAGTGTGGTATTCTTGTATCTGTCCTGAAGAGTACGAAGTGAAAAGCTTCAAAAGCCTCTGTCTGCAGCAAGTCCTGAATTGCTAAGCGACGAAATGTGATTAAATAAACATCTCCCCAATCAAAGACGCAAAGCCACCACAACCTAATACAGTGCATGGTTCTCTGAGGGGACAGTTTACTCTGAGAGCCCAGTACTCACAATCTGATGCCTCTGAGTGTTGGTGAAGAAATCCTCCTGATTCTTATTATTTAAGTACCTGCACAGGAAATATCTCCAGTCAGTCACTGAAAATCAATAATTCATTCTTCCAAATTTGCCGACGCTGTGAAAACACTTGGCATATATGAGTCCAACAAGAAAACAGTACACATATGCTTGGCAATGGCCATCTCCAACAAGAGACAATCTAACCACCGCCCCTTGACATTCGATGGTTTTGCCATTAAAGAATCCCCCATTTTCAACATCCTGGGTATTACCATTGACCAGAAACTCAACTGGACTCACCACATAAACACAGTGGCTACAAGAGCAGGTCAGCGGCTAGGAACACAGTAGCAAGTAACTCACCTCCTGACTCCCTGAAGACCTGTCCACCATCTACAAAGCTCAAGTCAGGAGTGTGATGGAATACTCCCCACTTGCCTGGATGGGTGCAGCTCCAACAACACTCAAGAAGCTCAACACCATCCAGGACAGAGCAACCTGCTTGATTGGTACCAGCTCCACAAGCATTCACTCCCTCCGCCACCGCCGCTCCTTAACAGTAAAATGCAGTGCAGAAATTCACCAAATCTCCTTGGCCATCACCTTCCAAACATGCATGCCCTCTCTTCGGCTACGCTGGGCCGTGACTGACCTTCCCCAGGAAGGTGAAATTCCCATTCACTAAGAGCAACTGGCCAATCAGTGCTTGGTAATTGTATAGGGCAGCAGCGCCGTCAGGGAGGCAGTGGCTGCTCTCAGTACTGCACCCACATGAACCCAATATTCTCTGTATAAGAAATAGGAGCAGGAATAGGCCCCTTTGGCCCCTCAGGCCTACTGCACCATTCTATCATGGCTGACCTGCCCCAGTCCTCCACTCCTCTCTGGTGCCAATTCAGCATTGTTCTCAACTTCTCGATATTTTAAAAATCTCTCTCCTCCCATCCACTGACTCCGTCTACACTTCCTGCTGCCTCGTGAAAGGAACTAACATAGTAAAAGACCCCTCTCACCCCAGTTACAATCTCTTCCACTCTCTTCTGTCAGGCAGAAGTTATTAAAGTTTGAATACCCACACAAACAGAACAGCTTCTTCCCCGCTGTTATCAGACTTTTGAATGGACTATTTCAATGTTAATTCTGATCTTTGTCTCTCTGCATCTCCTCTGCAGCTGTAACACTGTATTCAGCACTCTGTTCTGCTACCCTTTGTATGGTACCATCTGCCTCTATAGCACACAAAACAATACTTGGCACCGTATCACGTGACAACAATAAAACAATCAAATTTTTAAATACTTTCCGTGATGAGCCTTCACAACTCTCTGGAGCAGAGAATGTCAAACAGTCACTACTCGCCTATGAGAAATTCCTTCTCGTCTCAGTTTGAAATGAGCATCCCCTTACTCTGTAACAATGTCCCCTGGTTTAAGATACCCCCTGAATAGTTTAAACATTTTCTCAACATGTATTTTGTCAAGCCCCGAGCACACCTCATTCTTCCAAACTCTGATTAAAAAAGCCTAACCTGTTTAGCTGTTTCGCTTATTTAAGTGAGGATACTGGTTTGAGAGCCTGAACTGCTCCCCCTCAAACTGAATTTGAAATCTACCATGTTGTGATCACTACTCCCCCATGGGGATCCTTTTGCTCCCTCCTAGAGAATACAACCAAGGTTGCCCTAAAGCACAGAGGCTTTGACACCAGTAACGGGGAGGAGAAAACTGTTGACCACCCAATGAGGGAACTCTTGATTCATCGAGGCACAAGCCACTTCACGGCTCAGTGACTCCACCAGGAGGTGGAACAATAGCCCCGGGGAAGGAGGAGGAAGCCAACCCCACACCACATCTTCTACAGAAAAGTTTGTGAATTCAAAGTTCCTGAATCATCTGAAGACTCATCTAACCCTCACTTCTGAGGGACCACTGCCAGTGCTGGCAATGAGGCCAAGTATTGTTAGTGATGACAATGAGGCCTAGTATTGTCAGTAACTTTAATGAGGCCTAGTATTGTCAGTGATGACAATGAAGCCTAGCATTGTTAGTGATGACAATGAGGCCTAGTATTGACAGTGATGACAACAAGGCCTAGCATTGTCAGTGATGCCCGGGGGGGTGAGGCAAGGGTTTATCACAGAACGGGTGTCACAGTGTTCAGCAGCAAGGGAAGGGGGTCACTGTCAATGTTTTCCAACGCCCAGTCCCTCAAAGAGCCCCGGAGTGCCTGTGAATGAGAAGCCTCCCCTCCCAAACTGACCCTCTCGGAGGCCAGAAGCAACTCCCCATGGTTTCTTATCACGCCCCCAACCCAATCCTCCCCCACTCCTGCACAGGTCTGTATTAATATCAGCTGTACCAGGATAAGGCCCTCATGTGGTCATTAATTTTTTACTGGAGGGTCTCAATTGGCATCACTCTCTGGGTGTACCTGCCATAGACATCACCAGGATGGAGGTAGGAAGGAGGGGTAGTAATCCACCCCACCCACCACTCTACTATCATTAAATACCCTCCACCACCAAACACGCCACAGCAGAGGGCATTAAATTCTGCACCCCGCCCTCTGTGTCTTTAAACAGCATCATGGGTAAAATGTGTCAAATGATTTCACAGGAATATTACCGAACTACATTTGACTCCAAGATACATTATATAGGAGATATTAAGACAGCTGAGCAAAAGTGCAGCCAAAGAGCTATGTTTTGACAAAGGAGGAGGGGTTAACAATAGCTAACAATGTGAGGGTGCGAAAATCAGGAATGCTCAGGAGGTCGGAAATAGGGAAGCATGAAGATTTCCAAGGGTACAGCCCAGCCCAGCCCAATTTTTGGGCAGCACGGTGGCTCAGTGGTTAGCACTGCTGCCCCACAGCACCAGGGACCCGGGTTCAATTCCAGCCTCGGGTAACTGTCTGTGTGGAGTTTGCACATTCTCCGTGTGTCTGCGTGGGTTTCCTCCGGGTGGTCTGGTTTCCTCCTGCAGTCCAAGGATATACAGGCCTAGGTGGATTGGCCATGAGAAATGTGGGGTTATGGGACTGGGGGGGCATTATGGGACTGGGTGAGATGCTCTTTGGAGGGTCAGTGCAGACTCGAAAGGCAGAATAGCCTTGCTCTGCACCATGGGGACTCTATGACTAACCCACAGCAAATCAATCCACCCTCACACAATACAGTCTGACAGAAAACAATAAACTAAACATAAAACATCCACAAGACCAGCTTGCTTGAGCCCTCTAGATTGTTTATATCTTACTGTAAAATACACTAACACCTGCTGTCCTAACATTATCATTTTAAATATCTTTATTAGACCATTCCTGGAATGTTTGGTTAACCCATGGAGATTCAAAGCAAACTTTTGTAATTTGCCCTCACAAGTTAATTTTTCAACCCCTGATACCAGCCGAGTAAATCTGTGGTGTATCATGGCCAAATATCCCCACACTGCACTGAGTGTCCAAGTGAGCTCTGGTCAAGGTTCTGTCCATTTGTAACATCACTTCCTTCCCTTGGCTTTCCAATCCCCAGCACCCTGATCAATATTTATCCCCAAACCAATAGATTATTTGTTGCATTGCTGTTTGTGGGAAGCTTGGCAACCATGACTCTACTTCAAAAGCAATTCATTAGCAGTAAAGTGCTTTGGGATAACATAAGATGACGAAAGGCATATATGGGAATGCGAGTTCCTCCTTCCTTGACAGGGTGGCCCGACGATCGAACGGAATCCAATTCATACAGACCTTTCTAACTTGGAGAGTCGGAACGGGCAGGTGAAATACTCCAGAGGGCTCGGAAAGTCTTCCGACATGACATTATGGATTCCCAGCTTCGAGAGTAAGTCCTCTGACCAGTTGGAGTGAGAGTTTACAGATGCCTGAAAGGAACAAGAAATGAGGAACATTCCAGATGCCTTTTAAATGATGTAATTGTACTAGCCTTCACCACTTCCGGTGGCAGCTCATTCCATACACACACCACTCTCTGTGTGAAAATCTTGCCCCTTACGTCCCTTTTATATCTTTCCCCTCTCACCTTAAACCTATGCCCTCTAGTTTTGACCTTCCCCCACTCTGGGGAAAAGACCTTGTCTATTTACCCTATCCATGCCCCTCATGATTTTATAAGCCTCTATAAGGTCACCCCTCAGCCTCTGACATTCCAGGGAAAATAGCCCCAGCCTATTCAGCCCCTCCCTATGGCTCAAACCCTTCAATCCTGGCAAAATCCTCATAAATCTTTTCTGAACCCTTACAAGTTTCACAACATCCTCCCTCTAGCAGGGAGATCAGAATTGCATGCAGTATTCCAAAAGTGGCCAAACCAATGTCCTGTACAGCCACAACATTACCTTCCAACTCCTATACTCAATGCAGTGACCAATAAAGGCAAGTGTACCAAATGCTTTGTTCAGTATCCTATCTACCTGTGACTCCATTTTCACGGAACTATGGACCTGCACTCCAAGGTCTCTTTGTTCAGCAACACTCCCCAGGACCTTACCATTAAGTGTATAAGTCCTGCCCTGATCTGCTTTCCCAAAATTAAACTCCATCCGCTACTCCTTGGCCCATTGACCCATCTGATCAAGATTCCATTGTACTCAGAGGTAACCTTCTTCGCTGTCCACTACACCTCAAATTTTAGTGTCATCTGAAAACGTATTAACTTTATATCCCCTATGTTCACATCCAAATCATTTATATAAATGACAAAAAGGAGTGGACCCAGCACTGATCCTTGTGACCCACCGCTGGTCACAGGCCTCCAGTCTGAAAAGCAGCCCCCCACCACTCCCCTCTGCCTTCTACCTTCAAGCCTGTTCTGTACCCAAATAGCCAGTTCTCCCTGTGTTCTGTGAGATCTAACCTTGCTAACCAGTCTACCATGAAAAATCTTGTTGACAACCTACCAAAGTCCATATAGATCACATATAGATAGCTCTGCCCTCATCAATCCTCTTCATTACTTCTTCAAAAAACTCAATCAAGTTAGCGAGATGCGATTTCCCATCCTCAAAGTCACGTTGACCATCCCTAATCAGTCCTTGCCTTTCCAAATACGTGTAAATCCTGTCCCTCAGGATTCCCTGCAACAACTTGCCCACGACCGAGGTCAGGCTCACCGGTCTATAGCTCCCTGGCTTTTCCTTACCACCTTTCTTAAACAGTGGCACCACATCAGCCGACCTCCAGCCTTCCATCACCTCACCTTTTCCTATTGATGATACAAATATCTCAGCAAGGGGCCCGGCAATCACTTCCCTCGTTTCCCACAGAGTCCTGGGGATTTGTCCGCCTTTATATATTTTAAGACATCCAGCACCTCCACCTCTGTCATACGGACACTTTTTGTGATGTTGCTGTTTATTTCCCCAAACTCTCTAACTTCCATATCCATCCTCTGCCACCTACCCCGTTATCTAGACAAGATTGGAAGATGATGGCCAACACTTTTGGCATGTCAATTTCCAATTTTTTTGGAAAGCAAGCCATCCAAATCTGGCAGTTTATCCACTCGATAGCTTGTCAGTGTTAGAAAGACAAGTCCGTTTAAGGGTTAACCAGAGCAGCTACAGAGCTGACTGAGAATAGCTGATGCTTAGTGGATTTTGTAGAAAGAGAGTTTCTGAAAGAGGTGGGCACAGGAGGGGCTGAAGTGCATTATTTCCCTCTCTCCAACTCCACTCGATTTAGTGCCCAACCTCCTTGCCATTAATTTTTGTTATCATTACAAAAATTGTTGTTTGTTTTATTTTGTTAACTTGGTGATTTATCAGTTGTTTACAAGTACAGAGCTGGGTTCCTCAGCCTTCTTTTATTTTTGTTAATGTTGTACTGCCCCTGGTGGGCAGTGTTTGTAATGTTTATTTTGTTGATTATTTGGGTCAGTCAGTGGTGTGTTTTCAAAAGAAAAATAGTTGGGTTCCTCTCCAGTGTTGGGGGAGTCGGCTTCTGGACTCAGAAAGGGTCCAGAGGGAAAGGTTGAAACTGATGTTTGTGCTAAACTATAGATTTGCAATAAAAACCTTTGTAAATCTCCGAAAGTCTTTTGCTGCCTAATCATGGTCTGTTAGGCATAGCCATCCCATTGCGGTGCATCTCTCCTATCAATTTTTCACCACATCTACCAGCTCCATGTTCATCTGGAGGGCTGGAATGCAAAAGGGGCAGAAGTTACACTCGAGTTGTACAGATTTGTACAGTCATTCAGGAAGGATTCCTGACACAGTACGTAGATAGACCAACATGAGGAGAGGCCACTTTGGATTTGGTGCTTGGCAATGAACCGGGCCAAGTGTTAGACCTGTTGGTAGGAGAGCATTTTGGCAGTAGCGATCATAACTCTGTTACTTTTACAATAGTCATGGTAAAGGATAGGTACGTACAGCAGGGTAAGATTTATAATTGGGGGAAGGCTAATTATAATTCTGTTAGGCAAGAACTGGGTAACATATAATGGGAATAGATGCTGTCAGGGAAGAACACTTTTGAAATGTGGAGATTGTTTAAGGAATGCATACTGTGTTTGCTCGATATGTTTGTCCATAGCAGGCAGGGAAGATGCGATCGAGTGAGGGAGCCTTGGTTCTCAAGAAAGGTCGAACAACTGGTTAAGAGGAAGAAGGATGCTTATACAAGGTTCAGGAAACAAGGATCGGAAAAGGCTCTAGAGGGATACAAGTTAGCCAGGAAGGAGCTGAAGAAAGGGCTTAGGACAGCTATAAGGGAGCATGAGGAAACCTTGGCGGATAGGATGAAGGAAAACGCCAAGGCTTTTTACACGTACGCAAGGAATAAGAGAATGACCAGAGAAAGGGTAGGGCCGATCAAGGATTGTAAAGGGAATTTGTGCACAGAGCCTAAAGAGATAGGAGAGGTCCTTAATGAATACGTTTCTTTGGTATTCACAACTGAGAGGGACCTAGTTGTAGAGGAGGACAGTGTGAAACATGCTGGTAGGCTAGAGGAGGTCAATGTTAGTAAGGAAGATGTACTAGGAATTTTGAGGAACTTGAAGATAGATAAGTCCCCCAGGCCTGATGAGATTTATCCAAGGATTCTATAGGAAGCGAGGGAAGAGATCGCAGGGCCTTTGGCGATGATCTTTTTGTCTTCACTGTTCAGGGGTATAGTGCTGGAAGATTGGAGAGAGGCAAACGTCATTCCCTTGTTCAAAAAAGGGAATAGGGATAACCCTGGAAATTACAGGCCAGTTAGTCTTACGTCAGTGGTGGGCAAATTATTGGAAAGGGCTCGGAGAAATACGATTTATGATCACTTGGATAGGCACAGGTTGATTCGTGATAGTCAGCATGGATTTGTGAGGGGTAGATCATGCCTCACAAACCTTATTGAATTCTTTGAAGAGGTGACCAAACACGTGGATGAAGGTAGAGCAGTGGATGTGGTATACATGGATTTAAGTAAGGCGTTTGATAAGGTTCCCCATGGTAGGCTCATGCAGAAAGTAAGGAGGCATGGGATAGGGGGGAAATGTGGCAGATTGAATTCAGAATTGGCTGACCCTTAGAAGACAAAGGGTGGTAGTTGATGGAAAATATTCAACATGGTGCTCAGTTAAGAGTGGTGTACCATGAGGATCTGTTCTGGGTCCTCTTCTATTTGTGATTTTTGTAAATGATTTGGATGTAGGAGTGGAAGGGTGGATTAGCAAGCTCGCGGACGATACAAAGGTGGGTCGAGTTGTGGATAGTGCGGAGGGCTGTTCTAGGTTACAAAGGGACATTGATAGGGTGCAGAGTTGGGCTGAGAAGTGGCAGATGGAGTTTAACCCTGAAAAGTGTTGAGGTGATTCATTTTGGAAGGACAAATTTGAAAGCAGAATACAGGGTTAACGGAAAGATTCTTGGCAGTGTGGAGGAACAGAGGGATCTCGGGGTTCATGTTCACAGTTCCCTGAAAGCTGCCACCCAGGTGGATAGAGTTGTTAAGAAGGCGTATGGTGTGTTCGCTTTCACTAATAGAGGGATTGAGTTCAAGAGCCGTGAAGTTATGCTCCAGCTATACAAAAGCCTGGTTCGGCCACATCTGGAATATTGTGTCCAATTCTGGTCACCTCATTACAGGAAAGATGTGGAAGCATTGGAAAAGGTGCAGAGGAGATTTACCAGGATGTTGCCTGGAATGGAGGGAAGGTCTTATGAGGAAAGGTTGAGAGAACTCGGGCTTTTCTCTTTAGAACGACGAAGGATGAGAGGTGACTTGATAGAGGTGTACAAAATGATCAGAGGTATAGATAGAGTGGACAGCCAGAGACTTTTTCCTAGAGTGGAGGTAGCTATTGTGAGGGGGCATAGTTTTAAAGTGATTGGAGGTAGGCATAGGGGAGATGTCAGAGATAGGTTCTTTACTCAGAGAGTGGTAGGGACGTGGAATGCATTGCCGGAGAGGGTAGTGGAGTCGGCCTCATTAGGGGCATTTAAGCGGCTATAAGATAGGCATATGGATGATAGTATAAGGTAGGGGTTGAGGTTAGATAGACCTTAGGTTTAGGGTAAAAGTTCAGCACAACATCATGGGCTGAAGGGCCTGTACTGTGCTGTACTGTTCTATTTCTGATTGAACCCCACAAAAAGTACTGAGTTGGGTTCTGGGCGCCACATCGCAGGAAGGATATATCAGCCTTAGAGGGATTGCACCACAGATACACCAGGATCATGGCAGACCTAAAATGTCTAAGGTGACCTGTAACCTGGAAACAGCATAGTACGGTAACAATGAATACTAGGTCACGTGCCCTAGCAACCCTTAACATGAAAGCAACACCAACAGGAAGTTAAGAAAGCTGTGTGCTGACAGACAGAAAGGAGAGCTACTGATGCAAAGGAGATCTATAAGTAGGGGAGCTGGAGGGAGAAGATGGTCAGTGAAGAGAAGCAGACACAGAGAGAAAGCAGAAAGGGATAGAAAGAGGGACATTTTAAGCACAATGGCTCCCAGGAAGAGGTCAGTTTTTCTGTTTGGCATAAAGGGAAATAGGAGCTTTTGGAGGTACTGTGCGAGGTGAATGAATAGAACTAAAACCTGGAAAACTATGTGAGTTGTTCAGAGATGCTGATGGATGTTTTCCCAGAAGTGGGTAAATAGTGAATTGGGACATTATTGGTTGGTTGGTTGGTTAAGAAGCTCTTAAAAGTTACACAGTCAGGATATCATGACCCAAGGGAGAGAGCATTTTGTGGACACCCTCACTATTTTTCCTTTATTATTCACAATTTTTTTGGCTGGAATTAAGAGTTGAGTTCTGAACAGCTGAAAGTTTTGGAAGAGAAGAAAACAAATGCAGGTGTTTGCTGCTGGGAACTGGCTGGAAGATAATACAACTTAGGGTCCTTTTGTGGCACAGAGGCAGAGTCCCTACCCCCTAACTGGGAGGCCCAGGTTCAAGTCCTACCCACTCCAGAGGTGTGTGATACATCTATGAACAGGTTGATTGGGAAAAATAGATTAAATAAAGGGAAAAAGGTAATGCAACTTAATTACTAATCTAAAAAAACAATGAAGGTGATTTAGCATCAAGTGTTGCTATTCCTAGGGCTGGCAGCTGATTGGATATTGAGTTGGTCGATCAGGGAGGACTGATGTTAACCAGCCAACCACAGAGAATATTGATGACAAAAGAGAAAAACAGTCATGACTCATTTGGGCAGATGGAGAATGATTTTGGAAGCTTCAGGACTGGCTGTTGTTTTTATTCTCTCTGGTTTTCTATCCAGTTATAGAATTGTTGAATATTCTGAGAAAAGAATTCTAGTCTGTAAGAAATAAGCAAATAGTTCTGGAAGTCTACTGAAACTGTTCATATTCCAGTCACTTTGAAGTTAGGTATATAGTTACATGACTGTGAACAAGTCATCATACCAGAATTGTATAAAAGCTTGGCATCATCATTTCGAATTGTTCAATCGAACTGGCAAAGTACAATTCTTATATTTTCTTCTTAATTTATCCCTTAACTGTGCAGGTCTGTCATTCTGTCTGTGTGTGAATAGGGTTATGAACAAAGAAGGGATTTAAATCATAAATATTAGTTGGATCACTTGGCTATTTAGTTTTGTCCGGCTAAAGTTACCGTATTAATAATAAATTGTTACTTGTTGTTTAAGTTATAAACTTGGTATCCAAGTTCTTTTCTTTGTAAAATCTGGTTAGGAACAATTGGACAATTTGAGGGTCATTGAATGTTTTAATTTCACTATGTTGTATATCCAGTGATAATGAGGATGAATTGGTTTGACTTGTTATCCCTAGGGATCGTAACAATTTGTACGCATGAACCTTGCTGATGACAATTGTGACCCTGAAACTCAAAGATGAACGCTATTGTCAGATAGGACACCGGACCTACCCCTTGCAAGTAAATAACAGCACATCACAAACATGTGACCCTGTGTAATGATGAAGGAGGATGCTTGTGTTTGTGAAAGTGATACCTTTGTTTCATCAATCATTTAAAGTGAAATTTACCTTCTTATACGATGAATTATATATCTGTTATTTCATGTCAATTCTGATTCATGTGAAGGCAAAAGTTTAGTTGGCATTCTCTTCTCTCGGATATCATTTTGCAAATTTAATTATTTTGTTTTAAGTTTCCTCAGAGTGATGGTAATAAGTTAATGAGGGCTGCTGTCATAGACAAGGCTTCTATTCTCTTGAGTATAGAAGCTTCAGAAGTGATCAAATTTACGATGATTAAATGATTTTATACAGTAGATAATAAAAAAAACTATTACCTCTGGTGTGACAGTCTAGAACAATTCACACCGGGCTGTGGATAAACACCTCCTTCAGTCTAACAGGGAATGTGGAGGATAGTGAGGCTCAGTAACATGAATCCTACTGTCTTCAGAAAAGAGTGGAACCAAAACTAGGTTTGAAGGTAATTAAAGTAAGTAAAGATTGAGCCTGTCCACAGATAATTCACCAACCTGTAGTGGGACTCGTATCTTCATGTCCTCTGCATAATAGCACAGCACCTTCCATGGAACATTCAGCAAGATGTAATGGATTTGATGCTTCTCATTCTGTGTCTCATGCTGTGGCGATAAATCCAGACAATGATCATGCAATCTCTATAACCGTCTTTGTCCTCCTCCAGTACTGGCTTCTGGCACATGCTCCCAGTTTTAATCACTTCACCATTGGAGCCTATGTCTACCATTCCCACTTGAATTTCAGAGCCAGTGTGATGATAGTTATGTTGGTTATTTAATCCCAAAGATGGGCAAATTGTATCAGATAGCTTGGCTCTTCAACTGTTCGCAACTGACTGTACCCAACCAGCCCATTCCTGAAAATTCCAAATACAGTGTCCTGCTCTAGACATCATTCCATGATTGGATAGTATTTGCCAAGTAATCCTGCGTGTGCCAATAATTATGGTGATGACTGATTTAAGACTGTCAATCAGGGTTCACACTGTGGTTTAATTACAGCTCCTAGAAGCTATACATATGTTAATAGATAGTGTTATGAACCAGACCAGACCCCCTCAAAATATATTAAGAAGGTAGCCTAGACTGTAATTTTTTCTAATTTAAAGGTAAATGTGAGGTGCTGTGTTCCAGATGCAATTCAAGTGGTCAAACTACTCAACGTTAAGCAAAACACAATTTATTCAAACACTATAATTAAAATACAACAAAAGAAAGAGGAATTTGGAACTACTTAACTCTATTGGAATACTTAACAGAATAAGAGATTATTTTACTACTAAACAGTAACTGTTCCAATCCCATAAACACACCTATGGCAGAAAGGCAAATTCAGAAAACAGATTGTCTCACATGCAGTTCTATAATCCAGGAGGAAAGCAAATCAAAAGGCAATTATGAGAGAAATCTCAGAGAGACAGTGTAGCAGCCGGGAGAGAATCACAGCCTCCAACCCTGCTGAGACCCCAACATCAACTTTTGAAACCTAAACTAAAAATTCTGGATTTGTGGGAGATTGACAACACCCACTCGGGCTGCTTCTATTGCTCCATTTTTTAATTTAAAAAAACCCCAAGCCTCACAAATAGTTCGTCTTCTCATAGACTACTCGACATCTGTCCCCCAATCTCTCTCTCTAAAAGAAACCAAGGCAAAACACACTTTTTACAGCCACAGTATCATCACAATACATCTTGTTCTTTGTCGACTGAAAGAACATGTACTGCGCCTTTTTCAACTCAACAAAATCAGTGGCAGCCATTCACTGGCTCATTTCTCAGAGCAATGCCTTGACCAATCAGAATCATCCTGCCTGATTTAAATTTAAACAAACAAGTCCACTATATAGAACCTAAGCATATAACTGGTTGGCTCTTCTGCACAATACAGAGACAGCTGTCAGATGAAAAGTTTTTTTATTCATTCTTTCATGGGATGTGGGCATTATTGGCAAAGCCAACATTTGTTGCCCATCCCTAGTTCCCCTTGCACTGAAAGGCTCGCCTGGCTATTTCAAGAGGCTATTAACAGTCAACCACAATGCTGTCAGTCTGAAGTCACATGCAGGCCAGAACAGGTAAGGGGTGCCAATAGGAAAGGCCATGGGTGAGGGACATAGGTTTTTATGACAATTTAATGATCGCTATTAACTTAGATTAGTTTTCAATTCCAGGGTTATTCATTAATTGAATTTAAATTCCACCAGATAACTTGGTGAGCTTCGAACCCATGGCTGTAGAGCGTTAGCCTGGGCGTCTGGATTATTAGCCTGAAGATATTGACACTAAGCCACACTACATCTTAGCTTAAATATTAAATTGAGGCTGTACCTTTCTGTTCTAGTGGCTGTGGGAATAGAGCTCTCCCTCTGCTGGCAATGTGGGACAGCAATCATCACTGGCTCAAGTGTATGTAAAGCATGAATAGTCTGGGTGAGCTGTGAGAAAATAACCAGGGACTGACAGCTCTGAATCCCCTACAGAGTGGGGAGACAAGGAAAAAGGACAGAGAACAGAATTTTTTAAAATGATTTAGAAATAGTTAACCCTAGAATTTCAAAACTGAAGCAGGATGTATTAATGATTGAGTTGATTATGGGGACTAGTCAGTTGGCAGCAGGTAAATTCAAGCTGCTTAAAGGACCAGGGTGTAAAAGGAGAGATTGTGTTCTCTGCAAGCTGATGCAATGTTAGAATGGATGTTTCCACTCATCCTACTGTACCTGTTAACTCTGTTCCTTGTACACTGAAGGAAGAAAATATAGCCGTTGTCCCTAAAGTCCCTGATGCTGTTTCAAGCAGCAAAAATATTCTTTTTACAAAAAACTCCTGCTGCAACAGCAACTGACCTTTCAAAATGTCTCATGCAATTCTTGCTCTGTTGTTCCATGAGCCATGCAAATAGGCAAGATATGCAAAACCAGGTGGAGAATAGTCCCCTTGAGCTGATGATTTGCTTAGGGAGAGGTAAGGCTATACACTTGTTGAGTTAGCAACACCAGTAGGTTCCAAGTGAACTGCACCAAACATACCAGCAACAGAAATATGCCATTCAGCCCTTCAAAACCGTGCCCCCAACTACTTCTTCAGGAAGCTGAGGAAATTTGGCATGTCCGCAATGACTCTGACCAATTTTTATCTGGATGCATCGCACCATGATATGGCAACTGCTCTGCCCAAGACTGTGAGAACTGACAGAGAGTTGTGAATACAGGCCAGTCCATCACACAAACCAGCCTTCGTTCCACTGACTCCCGCTGCATTGGGAAAGCGGCCAACATAATCAAAGACCCCTCCCACCCCAGTTATTCTCTCTTCCACCCTTTCCATTGCTTAGAAGCTACAAAAGTTGGAAAACATGTACCAACAGATTCAAGAACAGCTTCTTCCCTGCTGTTATCAGACTTAAGGACAGACATCTCATATGTTAGAATTGATCTTTCTCTGCATCTTCTCTGTCACTGTATTCTGCATTCTGTTCTATTACCCCGATGTACTGGATTATTGCTGACCTGCTTGTGTTTCAAATTCCACATTTCTACCCGTCCCCGTTAACCTTTCATTCCCTGCCCGCCAAGAATCCATCTAATTCTGCCTTAAATATAATTAATGATCCATAATGTTGTGGTTTAGGCTATTCTTAACAACAGAGTCAAAGGTTATTATTATCACAGAATGCCTACAGTGTGGAAACAGGCCCTTCGACCCAACAAGTCCACAATGACCCTCAGAGGATCCCACCCAGACCCATCCCCCTAATCTACACCTCCCTGAACACTACGGGCAATTTAGCATGGCCAATCCACCCTAACCTGCGCATCTTTGGGCTGTGGGAGGAAACCGGAGCACCTGGAGGAAACCCGCGCAGACACGGGGAGAATATGCAAACTCCACACAGACAGTCGCCCGAGGGTGGGATCAAACCCAGGTCCCTGGCGCCGTGAGGCAGCAGCGCTAACCACTCAGCCACCGTGCCGCCCTGTTGTTGGGGACAGGAAAGTGGTGTTGTGGCCATGACCTTTCAAATGGTATAGTAGGCTTAAAGCGGCTGAATGGCCTGCTCCTGGCCTTAATTCATATGTTTGCATGACCTGACCAACAACATCCCCCCACACTGACCCCTCCCCATGACCTGCCACTCCCACCCACACCGACCCTTTCCAATGCTGTGCTCTTTGATCTGAGCTCTCTAACAACTCTCTCCTGACCTACCTACCTTCTCCCATAAACAACCCCCTGCCCCCCAATCCCAACCTACCATTTCCATGAGCAGGCCATTCCTCCCGAGGTTATGTAGAAATTTATTCCTCCACCTTGTCTCCTGATCTCGTTTTGTGGTTAGTTTCGAGTCCTGACCAGTTTCACCTGCACCGTCCGCATTTTTAGCTCTCGCTCTCTCAGGCTGCTTCTGTAGCTCCTCTTCCCACACGAGGACAAAGTCTGGAATCAATGTCAAAGAGCACAAAAGTGTTTTAGTCCTCCCCGTCTTCCTGCCAAGTTTTGTCCAATCTTCAAATCCTCTCTGCTGAATCCTCCAAGTTGAGCCGTAGTTGTAGGGGCTGAAATACCCAACTCGCTCAACCAGGAGCGAGTGATGGTCTCAATCAGTTTATAGCTAGCCCAAAAATGGCAGTAACATGTCAACCTCACTGGTGTCAACGACGTGGGAAACATAACTGTCACAAAAGTGGAGCAGCAGCATTTTATCCAAGACTAGAATCAGGAAGCATTCTCAGGTCCTAGAGGCTCACAGCACAGAAACAGCCCCTTGGCCCAAATCGTCCATGCGACCAGGTTTCCTAAACCAAACTAGTCCCATTTCCCTGCATTTGGCCCATATTCCTCTAAACGTTTCCTATTGATGTACCGGTCCAAATGTCTTTTAAATATTGTAACTGTACCTGCTTCTACTACTTCCTCTGGCAGCTCGTTCCAAATACACAGCACGCTCTATGTGAAAGAACTGCCCCTCAGATCCGTTTTATATCTTTCCCCTCTCACCTTAAACCTATGCCATCTAGTTTTGGACTCCCCTACCCTTGGGAAAAATACCTTGGTTATTCACCTTATCTATTCCCCTCATGGAGGTTCATAAAATCATAAGGTCATCCCTGAACCTCCTACTTTCTACGGAAGAAAGTTCCAGCCTATTCAACCTTTCCATATAACTCAAACCCTCCAGTCCTGGTAACATCATTGTAAATTTTTTCTGCATCCTTTCCAGTTTAATAACATCCTTCCTATAGCAGGGTGACCAGAACTGTGTGCACTGCTCCAAAATTGGCCATATCAATGTACCACACAGTGTTCCAACTCCTGTATTCAGTGCTCTGACTGATGAAGGCTAGTGTGCCAAATGCCTTCCTCACCACCCTGTCTACCTGTGACGTCACTTTCAAGGAACTATGTACCTGAACCCCTAGGTCTCTCTGTCCAACAACACTCCCCAGGGCCCTACCATTAACTGTGTAAGTCGTGCCCTGATTTGTCTGACCAAAATGGGATGTTAGCCTTTCCCTGAGAATACTCGATAAAGCAGAGTTGAGCAAGGAACAATAATCAGTGCAAACTTTATTCCTTTATGAGGTTGTAGACTTGCTCGCCAATCCAGTGGATTTGGTTGCAAACGTTTCATCACCCTGCTCGGTAACATTGTCAGTGGACCTCCAGTGAAGCATTGGTGTTTTGTTCTGCTTATTATTTATATGTCTCAGCCAGCCAGTATATAAATAACAAGTGGGACAGAACACCAACACTTCACAGGAGGGGCACTGACAATGTTACCTAGCAGGATGACAAAATGTCTGTAATCAAACCTACCAGCTCGGCGAGCAAGTCTAGATCCTCATCCACAACCTGAGCTAAAAATCTTGTCGAAAACTTTATTCCTTTATTCTTCTGTGGGATGTGAGCATCGCTAGCAGGGATGCCCCCAACACAATTATTGCCGATCCTTTTCCCCTGTATTTCAGAGGGCAATTAAGCATTGCTGTGGGTCTGGAGTCACATGTAGGCCAGACCAGGCAGATTTTCTTCCCTAAAGCGTGAACCAGATGTGTCTATGCAACAAAGGTACTACCTTCAAATTGCACATTTTTAATCGACTCGAGTTTAAACGCCACCAACTGTCATGGTGCGATTTTAAACCCATGCCTCAGTCCTCTGGATTATTAATCCTGTACTGTTACAACCATCTCCTCTATCCCTTAGTGCTGCCATTTTGAACCCTTCCCAAATTAGGACCAAACAAAAAAGCTCCCCAAACAAATTTGGCAATAAATGAACAAATCTCACCGATTCTGGTTTTCCCATCACTGAAAAAGTTCACTTTTTCTTCTTCCTTTGGGTCTTCTGTGAACTCTTTGAATTCATCATTGATCTAAGTAGAGGAATGCGGCAATTAATGTGGTTTTAGGAGCCAAGAAATGTCTGAGTTAGCGCAGGAGAACGCTTATTTAAACTTCAAACTGGGTGCCGACTGTTAGTTAGTGTTTTGTAACTCCCCCAAACATGATTATTCTGACACATTCCTGACCTGCCTCCTGCATACCACATCCTGACCCCTATCCTGAATAAACATGAGATCAGCCAAGACTCTGCTGTCTGTTTAACTCACAGCAAATCCCATCCAACCCACCAACAGTGTGCTCCCTGGCTTACACCCGGTTTTGGTTAAGTAGCACCTTGGTTTTAAAACATTTTCAAATCCTTCCCCTTCCACCTCCTCTTGTCGCCTCACAATCTCCTCCAGCCCCACAGCCTTCCAAAGTATCTCTGCTCCTGGAATTTTGGCATCTTTTGGGATATTCCCAATTCTCATTGCCCTCATCATTCCTACTACGAAGGCCCCAAACCCTGGAATTCCCTCCTCAAACCCTTCCATCTCTCTATCCTTCTTTCCTCAAACCTACCTCTTCGTCCAAGCTTTGCCATCTGACCTTCCTTCTATGGTTCAGTTTCAGATCTTGTTGGATAATGCGAAACACTGAGGGGATGTATTATTATATTCACAGTTCTATACAGATACAAGTTGTTGTTACTCCTGGAAAAAAGTGAGTCGGAGCAGGAAATGCTGGGATAACTCTTGGTTTCAAGGCAGTAAGAAAGGAACAGGGAGAAAGAGTGAAAGATGGCATATTTGAATAATTGGAGGGCCATAATAATACATGCAGGGAGGGGCAAAAATGGTGAGTAAAATTAATTGAGGCACAAGAAAGGGAGTGGGCCCAATCAACAACAAATTGCATTCATGTAGAAGAATAGCCCTTATTGTCACACATACTCAATGAATAGAGTGAAAAGTTTATATGTTACCAATTACAGCACTGACTTAGATACAAAAGTACCTAGGCACAGCTTCTTTTGTTACAAGATTTTAGACAATACAGAAATAAAATGTCCAGCATTACAGAAATTAAGATTAAGTACAGCAGACCATGTTGGTACTTAGCTTCCAGTCTGCACTGAGCCCTGGGAAGCTGCTGTGTCGGGCTGGGAGGCTTGCTACAGGAGGCCGGAGACCGGGAATGGTTGCCAGAGGCCAGGTGTCAAGGAGAGAATAAAAGGAGAAGAAGAGAAAAAGCACTAAGAGGAAGAAAAAGAAGAAGAAGAACGGGTGGAGTGGACGAGTTCTGTCCTACTCCCACCACCATCTTGCAGCTGAAAGCTGATATAGCACTTTTAACATTATAACATCGTAAGACATCCTGAGGAACCTGAACAAATTATATTTGACCCATCAGGGGATGTTAGAACAAATGTCCAGAAATGTGATTGCATCGGTAGGTTTTAAGGAACATCTGAAAGGAAGAAAACAAATCAGGCGGGGAGGGAGGGTATTCCAGATCTTCGACCCTAAGCAGCTAAAGATATGGCCACCGATGACAGGGTAGAGGTGCTGGCTATAGAACAGAGTTTGAATCAGGAACGGAGGCCAACAGCTTCAGCCTTCCCTGTTCTTTGTTTGAGGAAATTTATCAACATTGAGGTGATAAATCAGAGGCAACAGAGAGTTGACAGATGTGATGGTGAGTTAGAGCTGGTTATCATCAACGTACATGTGGACCATGGTTTCAGATCATGTGACTGGGAAATGAGAAATAGCTGGAGGTATGATCCCAGCGAGACAAACCAGATCCCCGGATAAATCTGGCCTAATTGATCAATTTTTTAAAATTTTAATTAACATGGTGCTCATTCAGTAAAATATAGTCACGTGAGGCTGCAGATTTGCTTTAATAACAGAACTGAAGTTTATTATACAAAAGACAAAAGCAAATCAAACCAAGTTATAGAAGACAGTGAGAAACAAAGTTCTTAAAACACCCAGGAAAACAAAGTTTCAATCTACTTCCCAATACCATCACATTTTACAGTGATTTAAATCCACAAACATCCACCTCCCTCCACCACCAATGCTCAGTATCAGCATTGTGTGCAATCTGCAAGATATATTGGAGTAACACATGAAGACAGCATCTTCCAAACCCATGACCAGTTCCATCTAAAAGGCCAAGGACAGCAGATACATGGGGACACCAACACCTGTAATTTCCCCTCAAGTCACTCACCTTCCCGACCTGGAAATATAATTGGGCATTGAGTCTAAATCCCATCACCCCCACCCAAATGGTTTTATGGATGTATCTATAATTTCAGCAGTTCAAGAAGGCAGCTCACCATGACTTTCTCTAGGGCAACTAGGGAAGGGCAATAAATACTAGCCTAGCCAATGATGTCCACATCCCACGAATGAATGAAAGAAATCCAGGAAAATTACTTCACTATATCCAATATAGTGAAGTAATGTCAATTATAGTGAAGACTTCGCAATTCACGGTAAAGAACAAGGGAGAATCATCTATGTCAAACTTCTTTACTGTGAATTGCGAAGTCTTCCTAAATGAATACTCACAAAACTAAAGAACTTAGACTTTCTCGATTTGTAATAACCTGCAAACTTCTAACTAACAGTTCTGATCTGGAAGTTGTGCAAAGTAAACTGTTCTGCTGACATAATTCTGCTTTCCCTGAACTATCCTATATTATTCTGCACTTCCACCCCGCACCCGGGTCAGGTGTCCTGTAAACTGCCAAAATCTGATGAAAGAAACGTAAAATGTTTTCTAAAATAACATCGGTTTTTGATTATCCTGAACCAAAACCAAACTAATGGCCCTCAATTTTTACCTCACTCACAGCTCTCTAGGTCGTGTAGAGTTGGACAATAAATAGTGGCCCAACAGTGGGACACCCACATTCCATGAATGAATAAAAAAAGAACATTCCAATCTTCCATTAACACTCCAGGTGGTCCCTGGACAGTTGCTGGATTAGATCACTGTTCTGGAAAGACTATCTGACTTAGTAACTTTTTAAACTCTTCAGAAGAGTAACCAACCCCTTATGCCTCTATTTGAAATTCCAAACTCTAAAAATTATTATTTATATCATGTATGAAATGTTATACATATATTAATTTGTATATATCAGACACTTTTATCAAGAGGAGACCAAGAAGTGGGGGAGGGTGGTGTGTTCCAGATGTATCAGTGCAGGAATTGGGGAAAAAAAAACCCAATGTACATCATTCTCTGGCTGCAACAGACCCATTAAAAAAAAATGGATAATGGAGGAGAGAGATTGAGCTATGAGGAGACAGTGGGGCAGTAATAATGTCACTTGACAAATGACCAAGAGACCTAGGCTAATACCACTATGACAATTGACAGAAATTGGATGAGCAAATAAATACAAAGCTAGTCCCTGCAATGGTGCCATGAAACAATCAATTGTCATAAAAAACTCACCTTGCACCTTTTTGCAAAGAAAATCTAACATCCTTGCCTGGACTGGCTTATATGTGACTCCAAACCCACAGCAAAGGAGCTGACTCTTTACTGGCTGCAAAACTAGCCTTACAAGCCAGAAACAAAAAACAGAAATTGCTGGAGAAACTCAGCAGGTCTGGTAGCATAGAATCATAGAAACCTTACAATGTGGAAACAAGGCCTTCAGCCCAACAGGTCCACACCAAACCTCAGAGCATCCCACCCAGACCCATCCCCCCATAATCTGCCTAATCTACACATCCCTGAATACTACAGACAATTTAGCATGACCAATCCACCTTTTTGCACATCTTTGGACTGGGAGGAAACCCATGCAGACACGGGGAGAATGTGCAAACTCTATACAGACAGTTACCAGAGGATGGAATTGAACCTGGGTCCCTGGCACTGTGAGGCAGCAGTGCTAACCGCTGAGCCACCGCATCTGAGAGGAGAAAGCAGCGTTAACGTTTCTGGCCCAGTGACCATTCTTCGGAACAGTTTTGAAGAAGAGTGACTCAATTAAACCTGCCTCCATCACACTATCAAAGGCTCATTCCAGATTTTAACCACCTGCCGTGTGGCAAATCCTTTTGCTCCTTTTGCTTTGCTTTGGCAGCCTCTTTAAATCTGTGCCCCTACATTTGTGACCCTGGTCACTGTGTTCAGACCACCCATGATTTTGAATCCCTCTTATCAGATCTCCTCTCAGCTCCTCTCTTCCCCGAGCTACAACAACTGGAATCTGGAGGCTTTAGGTGGATGAATTAAAACTTGCAAAGACAGCACTCACCTCCTGCATTGCCACAAAGTTGTCATCCTCAGCGTCATCCTCCTCATTTTCCAAACTGCCATAGTACTCATTCTTCAACTCATCGGGTGCGATGAGGTGAATGGCATCATTCCCCTTGTTGGCTCTACTCTTCAACATGGTACTTCAGCTTCTCTTCTTTCTTTTTTTTGGAAATCGGTGCCCAGTTAGGAACCTGCTTGGGAAACAATAAGCAAGACCTGTTGAAATTTTTGAAGAGAATCCCCCACGGACCCTCTCGCTCCATGGTGTTCCTCTGGACATTTCACAGAGTATCACACACTCTTTGCTGCTTCGGAGAATTTAGGAGAGCTGCTGTGAGTCTTGAGGAAGACGAATCCGGGTGAGAAAGTGGTTGAGAAAGTCTGGGCTAACTTTGCATAAGGTCAAAGGAAGGTCAGAGAAGACTTGATGGACATCATAGAATGATAGAGATCTATAGAATGCCCTTCAGCCCATTGAGTCTGTGCCAGCCAAAAACAACCACCTAACAATTTAAGAGATAACACAGTGTCGAGCTGGAGGAACACAGCCGGCCAGGCAGCATGAGAGGAGCAGGAAAGCTGACATTTCAGGTCGGGATCCTTCCCGAAACGTTAGCTTTTCTGTTCCTCTGATGCTGCCTGGCCTGCTGTCTTCCTCCAGATCCAAACTGTGTTATCTCTGACTCCAGTATCTGCAGTTCTTACTATCTCTGAGTGAGAACTAACAATTTAATCCCATTTTCCAGTACTTGGCCCACAGCCTTATCTGCTTTGGCATCGGAAGTGCCACATCTAAATACATCCTCAGTGTGATGTGGATCTCTGTTTCTGCCACACTTACATGTGGGGCTGTTCAAACTAATTTCGATAAGATGGACCAGGAGAAGTTATTCTATCTGACCTGTGGGAGCGTAACTGGTGGGATTGATTTAAGATCGTCATCAAAACTTCATAGGAATGGGTGTGTTTTTTAATTTAAAATGAAAAAGATTTGTAGAATATGGGAGTGCCCCACTGTGAACAGGAAAGGGAAGTCATGGTGACCCAGTGGGTATCACAGTCAGCATGAAAGGTTGTGCGTTCAAGTCCAACACCAGGACTTGAGCATAAAGATCTGAGGGATTGCTGCACTATCAAAGGCGCCATCTTTCAGAAGCAAAGTTAAACTGAGATCTCCCCTCTATCCTCCAAGATGAACGCTGTAGATCCAACTGCAATTATTTTGATGTAGAGCATTGGCCATATTTATCCATTCATTATCCATCCCTCCAATCATCATCACAGTTTTGATCATGGGAACTGGCTGTGAACAAACTGGCTACATTTCAACATGAAATGGACTTCAAGAATATTCCATTGGCTTTCAGGTGTTTAGCCTGTTGCCTGTGGAATTCTGTTTAAATTCAAGTTTTTCTTCCTTTATCGTTATTTTTAAAAGGGGAGTGGTTAGTTAGTTTGTAAAGAAATACACAAAGCTTGGGGAAAGATTGAATGGAATTGGGCAGCTCTAGTGGTCCAGCGGTGAAAGATGGCACCTGAAGAGGGGTGATGTCAATATTGGTTGGGTCCAGTGTAGAGGCAGTGGAGGAGAAACAGTGGTACAGGGGTTGTTGATGATGTGGTTGCTCAGGACTGATGGACTCTCTCTGAGCTATATCTTCCTGTTTCTTCTTATTCTTAAACTGGCACAGGATCGTCGCAACAGAGGACAAGCTTCGCACTGTATTTTACTGTTTTTCACACTGTAAAATTCGCATGACAATAAAATCATTTATTTATATCAGAGAACTGCTCGATAGGCTGAATGGCCTCATGGGCTGCTGCAAAGAAGCTAATGAAGGGATATGGAAGAGAATATTGAGGATTGTTGAGCAGGCAGAGAGATCAGCACTTGCACCTTCGAAGTTACTGTTGGGGTTATTTCTTTGTTTAACCCCACGCCAGTGCTTGTGCCTTCCAGCCCGAAACAGACCCTGACTCAATGCTGGTATTTATCGTCCACACAAATCTCCCGCAAACTTCATTTCATCCTTATCAGCATGTTTTTCTATTTCCCTCTCCCTTGTGCTCGATTAGAATTCCTCACATGCACTACACTGTCAGTCCTACACCTACCATGTTCCATATTCTCACTGCCCTGAGTAAAGTTTCTCCTGAGCTCCCATTTGGATTTAACAGCAGCCCTACATTGACAGGTCCTTGCTGGTTTTTAGACTCATGCGCATGAAGGAATACTGGGCTGGGTTTTAATGTACTCAGTGAGTAAAAGCTTGGCTATTTATGTCTGAGATGAGGCAGGATATTTTCACAGAGAGGCAAGTTTGTGTTGTCACGAGGCTTGTGACTTTAGGTTTTACTGTGCACATTGCATTGATGGTATCCTTGTCTCCTCTGGTAGTTTGTGGCCTGTAACACTTTCCCCTTACGTATAAGAGATCATTTCCTGGTTCTAGTAGAGTCACCCTGTTAAAGGAAAGGTAATATTAAGCTGGTGAGGGTTCAGAAGAGATTTACCAGGATGAAGCCAGGGATGGAGGGTTTGAGATATAAGGAGAGACTGGATAGGCTGGGATATTTTTCACTGGAGTGTAAGAGGTTGAGGGGTGACCTTTATAGAGGTTTATAAAATCACGAGGGGCATAGATAAGGAGAATGGCAAGTGTCTTTTCCCTAGGGTGAGGTATTTCAAGACTAGTGGGCATATTTTTAAGGTGAGAGGAGAAAGATTTAAAAAAGATATGAGGGCCAATATTTTTTACACAGAAAGTGGTCCATGAGTGGAATGAATTTCCAGAGGAAGTGATGGATGCTGGTACAATTGCAAGGTTTAAAAGACATTTAGATAAAGTACATGAATAGGAAAGGTTTGGAGGGAAACAGGCCAGGAGCAGGCAGGTGGGACTAGTTTAGTTTGAGATTATGGTTGGCATGGACTGGTTGGTTCGAAGAGTCTGTTTCCGTGCTGTATGTCCTTGCACTTTCACACCAGCGATGGTATCAGAACTGTGTTTGATGAAGCTGGGTGTGCCCCAGGGTGCCATGTGTGTGGGTCCAATGCTGCCCAGCACCAGGGTGAAGCGAGCCAGCTCCCATCTGGCAAACAAACCATCAAGGACCCAGCTAATTGTGGGTGATTGACTGGGACATTCTGCAAATGTCCAAAGGGAACCTGGGAGAGATTCAGAAGCCAAAATAATGCATGGGTGGTGATTTGGACAGATGCAGGCAGCATTTCTCTACAGAGACTGGACGTCCGTGAGACACCAGTGTTCGGGCACGTCAAAGAAGCTCAGCTTTAAGCTGGGGAGCTGATGGTGTAGTGGCACCGTCAATGGATTAGTAACTCAGAGATTCAGGTATTGTCCCTGACGTCTGGGTATGAAACCCCCCACAACACATGGTGGAACTTAAATTCAATAAAACCTGGAGTTAAGAGTCTAATGATGACCATGAAACCATCATCCAATGTCATAAAATTCCATCTGATTCAATAATACCCTTGAGAAAACAAAATCTGACCTCCATGTAACTCAACTCAAACAATGTGGTGGACCCTTTAACTACCATAGTTACATAGAGCCCCTGCAGTGCAGATAGAGGCTATTCAGCCCATCAAGTCTGCACCAACCCTCTGAAGATCATTCCAATCCCCGCTCACCACTCTAATCCTTAAACCCTGCATTTCCCATGGCTAATCCACCTAACTTGCACATCCCTGGACACTGTCAGCAATTTAGCATGGCCAATCCACCCTAACCTGCACATATTTGGACTGTGGGAGGAAACCGGAGCACCCAGAGGAAACCCACACAGACAGTCACCCGAGGGTGGAATTGAACCCAGGTCCCTGGCGCTGTGAGGCTGCAGTGTTAACCACTGAGCCACTGTACTGTCATCTGAAATGGCCCTAACAAGCCACTCATTTGCTAGAAACTTCTCAAGAAAGAAATGAAACAGGATGGACTACCGGACATCGACTAAGGTACTAGTAACAGCAATGGCAAACACAGCCCTGACCACTTCCATCTAGAAGGACAAGGGCAGCAGACATATGGGAACACCACCACCTCCAAGTTCCCCTCCGAGCCACTCACCATCCTGACTTGGAAATATATTGTCGTTCCTTCAGTGTCGCTGGGTCAAAATCCTGGAATTCCCTCCCTAATTGCATTGTGGGTCTACCTACAGCAGGAGGACTGCAGCGGTTCAAGAAGGCAGCTCACCACCACCTTCTCAAGGGGCAACCAGGGACGGGCAATAAATGCTGGGCCCAGGCAGTGACACCCACATCTTATGAATTCAAAACCCCCTGAGATGCGGCTAGTATCTCCTGTGACCTTTGACATCCTGTGCTGCCCTCGTTCCTGTGGTGTTACAGGGTCTTTGAGTAGCAGGCAGGAGGTTTACCTGAAGGCAGCAGCTAGTCTCCCCATCCTGGTGTGGGACAGTGAACTTTAGAACCAAAAGCAAGTCCTTTCCCAGGGACAGAAATGTGCCCACGTATTGGTTTGTGCCTCTGAGATTGATTTTGCTGCTCAGTTGCCAGTTACCATTTGAGCTCACCTTGCTTTCCCTGACAAGTTTCAATAATAAACCACGATCCCCACCCCGACCCCTAACATTAAGCTGAAATGTGTGTGTGCATGTGTGTGTGTGTGTCTGTGTGTGTCTTAGAATTAGAATCCATTTTTATTTTCTCCCGTACTCAAGTATAGGGATACCGGAATACGGTGATAAGTTGCCATTCACAAAGTCACAAAGTCAAGGTACCTAGGTACAAACTCTTAGGTAAAGAGCAGAAAAATAAAGAAATAAGTTAAAAGTTCAACGTTACAGCTCTTCTCAGCATAAAGTAGGAAATAAAGTTAAAAGTTCCAAATTACAATCTTTCTTTAGCCATGGGCATGCAGCCGCTCCACGCTGGGCTTTCCCCACAAGGACTCGATCTCTCCCCCCTGCACCGGGCCCGATCTCTCCCCGCCCCCGCCCCGGGCCCGATTTCTCTCCCCCTGCGCCGGGCCCGATTTCTCTCTCCCTGTGCCAGGCCCGATTTCTCTCCCCCTGTGCCGGGCCCGATTTCTCCCCCAACCCGTGCGGGGCCCGATCTCTCCCCGCCCCCACCCCGGGCCCGATTTCTCCCCCCCTTCGCCCGGCCCGGATTCCCCCCCCCCCTTCCCCACCCCACCAACTG